TTCTCCAAGGTATTCGACCTTGTCAAGGTCTCCACAAGGGGACGAAGGCATCCGACATTTTGGGGAAGGGGGGTCGACGTCCACCTGTGAAGATCTTGTGTAAATACCCCCGGGTAACAAATTCAAAGCTACGCGGGTGGGAAAATGAGTTGAGATATGCTAAGGCCGTTTCGGCGCCCACTCATTTTCAATACCCTTGATACTACCAAATCGGTTAATCTCACCTTCTTTGCCAGAAGTCTGCCCTGCTGTACTTGCGCAGCCAAAGGGTTTCTCTCCTGATGACATCCAAGCGAACGGAAGCCAATTGTTCAAAGTATTCAGTGTTCACCACCATGACTATTATTCCGTGAAACATACGTACTGCGTCTTGGAACCAGTGCATGAGAATCAGACATATCAGGCAGTCTTGCTCGATGTTTGATAGCAGCGATCAACTCTGCGTTACAAAGTCGGCGCTGGCTCAGGGAACATGATGCACAGAGCGTTTGAATTGATCACATAAGCCGTGGGGACTCGATCGTCAACGTCGAAGTCGCTTGCATGTCCGAGGCCTTCATTGCTGCCCTTCACGAAATAGCCATTGGTTTTGAAGGAACACGGGAATATCATTTTTGGCAGTGGGATTGGCAGCGATCCTCCCGGCATCATGAGAGGCCAGTTATCCTGGAAGTACTTCGAGCGAGCTCAATCACAAAAGACCTCTGTAGAGACGATGGTACTTCGTTCTTTGCCGCAAGGGTGTTGCCGTAGCAGTCAGCTAGACACCAAGGCATCGCGCCCAATTCTGCCCATTTCGTCATCAACGGTTGTTGTTGTTCTTCTTCTTCTTGTCTTCACATTAAAAACCGTTCCGGTCTCCGCCCGGTACCTTCTAATATCCGCACTGGTCCAGTTGACGCGGACGCCTTCCGTGGTCACAAACCAACTACCCCAAAAGGGGATATACCTTCTAGAAAACAAGCAACGCGACACCACACAACTGAATGACTTACAACGACACAATATCTCATCGGGTGCACTGCGAGGGGGGGGGGGGGTGTACTCATAGTCGTGCATGCCGAAGTCGTTACACCATTGACCTCGCATCCCTACAAAGCCGGGACGGAGCACGCCGGGTTCTCACCGGACCAGGCTCTCACATCACCAAGCGCGAAGCGCTGTAAGGTATTCGGCGAGTCGCATGAAGGGTGCGCTGCATCCTGCTAAGGGTGTTCGGCATCTTGTGCTTACTTCTATGTGTACGGATGACAGCTGCGGATGACTTACTTTATGTTCTGGTGCTTTCACTTCCAGAGAAAGTTATAAGCGCTGTGAAACTGTCTCGAAGGTGCTTGACCAATTTAACGCAACGTGCGATCATCCCCATTGCGCGAAGTGAGGGTTCTCGACCCCGCACAACATAATCTGCGCGACCGCCATTCATGGTTACCGAAAAAAAAAAAGCAAAAAAAAAGCGGTGACCTGGTTGCTGAGCTCACGAAGTGATTGGCTTGTTTTACAACATCGCTGCCAAGCGATGAAAACCCAACCCCGATGGCAAACACCGGGGGGGGCGTGTGCACTGCGAGGGGGGGGGGGGAGTAGTGGAATGACGGAATATATAGGGATACGTCCGGCTGGTACTCCTGCCATAGCCATTCATCATCACTCCAGAATATGTCTCTCTATCCGTTCAGCCATCTCCGTCCTGCTCTCTTCAGTTTCAGTCGTGCCTTCTATCTTCGACATTACCCCCACAGTGGCCCCTTCCGCCCCTGCTCTGCTGTCCTTTTGGTCTTCTGTCCGGTGTTTTTCTTGTTCCGTTCCTCCGCCCGTAGTCTGCTTTGCTTCTCTTGCTCCTTGTACCATTTGACCATGAACTTCTCCGCTCCCTCTATCACCCCTTGTACCATGACACCCCTTTCTCCACCTTCGCTGCGATAGGCTAGCAGCCACGCGGTATCCCGAATGTCCTCAGGTCGTCATCCGTGGATTCGGCATCGCCACCGAATTCTACAAAGTCGTCCTTCAAGCAAACACCCAATCATTTCTGGGTGCCCGCTGCCTGGGTCCTCCCCCCTCAACGATATCTCCGAACATCAATCGCTTCGGGAGTCGCCCGTCCGGTTGTTTGGCCATGCCCCAGCAAACAGTAGTCGCCGTATTCGAACAGTAGCCTCCACGCTTTGGCATCCGACCTTTTTGAGGGCTTGGGCGTACGAGATCTGGTGGGTGTGGCGGTGGCGGCGCTCCCTTTTTTGGTTTCTTCTCCGACATCTTCCTTCATCACGAGAGTCTCTTCCTTCTTCTCCGACACGGTCTGTCCGAAAGCTCCAAACACTTCGACGAAAATGGTCATAATCCTCGCCAGGCCTTCGACCGATCTCGATACAAACCCAGCGTCGTCGGCGTACAGCATACCCCACACCGCCTTCCGGACTCGTTCCAGCGGTGTCGTTGCCCTTGTCCCAGTCTCCTCCTCAAGGTTTCCAGATCCCTGAGGACAACGTCGTCTTCGCTAAATCGTAGCAGAACTACCTCAAGCGCTGCCGCGAAGAAGATGTTAAACAGCAGTGGAGACAGTACACATCCTTGTCGCAGTCTCTGGGTGACCTCGAACCATTCCGAGAGCTCTCCGTCGTCCATGCATGCGTACCCGAGCTTGACTGCCGTCGTGGAACTGACGGATGACCGCGATCATATCTTCCGGAATTCCCGCTCGGGCCAGCACCCGCCACAGCAGCTCCCGGTCTACTGAGTCATAAACCTTCTGGTGGTCGACGAAGCACATGTACAGCGGGTTACTCCGTCTCCGTGCCAGCTCCTGCAGTCGTCATACGACGAACACCATGATGAAGGTGGATCTGCCAGGTCGGAAGCCGCACTGCTCTTCCGGCAAGATGTCGTGTTTCTCGCAGTAGTCACCGAGACGGTTAGCGACGATTTTCAGGAACACCTTGCTCGCGTGCGACAGACGGGATATCCCCCTGTAGTTGCTACAGTTGGATCGGCTCGACTTCTTGCAGAGTACCTTGATGGTGGCATCGCTCCATTCCTGCGGGACCTCACTCCCGTTCCACACGTCGACGAGGATGGCGTGGAAGCGTTTGATCACGATGGGCTCATCTACGTCGTCAATGTTGAGTAGTTCTACCTGCAGGGAATCGTGACCACACGCTTTCCAGTTTTTCATCCCCCGTGCTGCTCTCCGAGTCTCCTCCAGGGTTAGTGTGGACCCTAGGTGTTGCGAGCCTTCAGTGGTTGGCACCTTCGGTCGTTGTTTTACCTCCCCGATGATGGGCGGGTTCAACGTGAGCGATTTAGCGTTGAGTAGAGAGCCGAAGAACCTCGCCCACCGTTGGAGAGTCTCATCCTTGCTCCTCAGCACGACACCATTCTTATCTCTCACGGGCTGTTATTCCCATGTCTGCTTCCCATTTACGCCTACCGAGCTCTCGAGGTGTGTGTCAGTACAGTCCCCGCATGTCGCTATCCTCGAGGATGGATTCCATCCTCGCCAAATACTTCTAGGTGGGCATAAATGCCGTCATCGACTGCTGCACGTGCTGCCTTACAATTGGCCCGGAGTACTTTCCATGTTGCTGGATTTCGGTCGGTTTTCATCTCCCGGCGTGCCTTCCTTCGCTCGGCAAGAGCTGCCTCGACTGCTGTTCTCGTTTCCGGGCTCTGGCACCACTCTGCCATACCACGTGGTTATGTACACAATCCGGGTCTATACCGGCAGCACTGACTGCGCTGCTTCAAGGATAGCTTTGGGTGCTCACGTTGGGCTGGTCTGTTAGCTGGTCAAGGTTTTGGATGAACTGTACCCGCAAGTCTAGCCAAGTATTATACGTTCACTCTCAGTTATCCTGAGCCTACGAGAAAAGTACAACAACATCGACCGCCTTTGTTAACCATCGATGTATCGACTTGGGCTGTCCGCAGCACAGGGTTCGGGTATGTATCCCTACCGTACAGCGTGCTGGCGATGGCGGCGTGATAAAGCGTCTCACCACATGAACAGCAGCTCAGGATACGTTTACTCCCAAACGCTTCACTATCGTGTCCGTAAAAGTGCGAACAAACATTAGCTGCGTCATTTGCTGCACAACCTTTGTTTTTCAAGTGTTTCCACCCACATACCTTCAGCAGGTGTCGACCTAAACTCTCCCAAGGGTGTGTTTTGGAGGTTATACCAACATTAATTCCTGGGTACGGGAACGGTTGTAGTCGTAGTACCCAAAGAAATGGAGATTTGGTACTCTTTTCAAATGTTCAAAGAGTTCTGTCTGTAGGTAAAGTGACGATTTCAAGCGACCAAAAAAAGAAACCACACGTTTAGCAGCAGCAAATTGCAACGTGAAATACCCGTCTACAAAAAACAAGCCGTTGTGTTCGGCGGGCCGAAAAAAAGCTATTGCCTACCCCACCATTCTGTGATCTATCCAATGCGCTGAACAAGGCAGAGAGAAGCATAAGATACCCTCTAACTATTAGTATTTGCGCGTACTCCAGAACTATCCAACTTTGTTTCTTGTCCGAAGAAGCACCCGTTGGTCGCCATGGTCGGCCATGGACGCTTCTCAGATTTACCGGACGCCAATTGGTATAGACTCTCGTCCGAACAGAGGTGTTATTTCGACGTGATTGCAAAACACATCGTGCCCCCAACAGATACCTTGAGAACCACGAAGGATCTCGCACACTGTGACTTGTATTCTGCGAGCACACTGTACGCACCTGGTATCACAAGAAGCATAATTGCCCAAAATCCAGCTGCAGCCGGGCGTAAAAGAATGTTGGAGCGCACTCTCGATGAAACCCTCCCCTCTCGGCCCTGTGCACCTAAATAACCAAATCAGCACAACGTTTTTGCATCGTCGAGATCTAATCTCGTGCGTTCACAACTTACACAACAGGGACCAATCGTTCTCGGGATGATGCCTATACTGAAAAGTGGAGTGATGGAAGATGTGCCCGGGAAAGACTGGAGCGAGAAAGGAGGGCTGACAAACAGGGCAAACCTTACAATCATTTTCCAAACCAAGCATTCTGGATACAGTATTGGTATTGTGACGGTCACAATGTGACAATTCCAGTTTTTTCAACTTCTTCTGTGAATGAATTTTGTGACGTTTTTTCATCTTTCGAGTGAAAGAATGGCTTGTCAGACCGCTCCGTTTCTGTGCTGTACGCGCCTGTTGTACGGGGCACTTCTGTAGTTGTCACATTTGCGGTCGTTTCATCCTTGTGTCATTTCCTGTCCGCATTTGAAGATGCCCGTACTGACAGCAGGCACAACGTAGAGCACTGGCCATTTTTAGTGAGTGAAGCCCGTGTGGTGTAGCTCAGACAGACGAACCGTAGGTGCTTCCAAACTACCACACTTTCGATGCTAGTATTCTCATCAACAGACAGCAAGTATGAGACTCATTGCTGAGGATCAATACCTTGTTTTGGGTAAAAGCGCCAGCTCAGCATACCGTTCGGCTTTGTTTTGATACGAAAGAGTCTTTACGTTTGGCTGTCGAATCTGCCGTCATGGGGGTGATTTTCTCCCTGCTTCCGCCACCTACAAGTACCTACACGTGAAGTGTTGAGTTGCTGATTCCTGTTTCGTCTCTCTCAGACAACCTATCTTCTATGCACGAAGCCCCCAATCGACAAAAACAAGAATCAATACACGAACCAAAGCAAAGAATGCCTTCCCAGGTTGCCAAGTTAGGTGGCTCCCCGTGAAAGTGATGGAACTCCAACTAGAAAGAACCCCACAACATACGTCATATGTCGGTGAAAAACCCAAGAAATCCACAGACCCGCAGGCAATCACCCGTTTGGCCGATTGCTCCATGCTATCGCACGCCTGTTCTCGATGGCTCAGTCTTTTGGTCTCCCCTTGTCTCACAAGTTTTTTACCTCTCTACTTGACGGAACAGGGTTAATGTTATTTCTATCTACACGTGTTCTTGTCTTGCCCAATTCTAGCCGTGCTAGACTGAGCCTTCCGACAGTTCCGATGCCGATCACTTTATGTCTGCAGAAAGATCGCCAACATACATATGGCGTCCTCCTCGTGATTCGTGAGTGTGTCTACCTTGGCGATGTTGGAGCATTTGTGTTCCAAGAGCCAGTTCTTGAGGGGGAGGCAAAAGCAAAAGTCAGATTTACTAAAGTCAGATTATCTATGCCGCATAATAAGGGTAAGACATTCTTCAACCTATTCTGTCTACTGCTGTGTCAACTGCTGTTGTCATAGCTGGTGCCCACGGCCACAGATAGATGCTGCGTTTCTACGCATGGAACCTACTACTGGACTCCAGTAGGCTGGATAATCTACCCGGAACTGATGTTTGCAAATACATGGTGCACATACACTCCCACGCATTACACGTTGACTGTTAAGCCCCGTCTGCGAGATAATGTCCATCTACAAGCGGTAGAGCTGTAAAGCCTTACACGCACCACAGGCAGCGGCTACATCTTTTTCGCACATATCACATGAATGTGTCCTCCCCTGTCGTCACCCACCTCTCATGTCTTGAATGGTCCAGCAAAAAACTGAAGTTGCCCTTCTATACAATCCAAAACACCGGACACCGGGTTACGCTCTGTAGCAAGGCCTAGCACACGCTGGGAGAGGATACAACGGAGGATATCTTTGGTTGTTTGGGAAGCGGCGTGACCCAGCAAACGACCCCAACCCCCTTATTTTGAGGTTTTCGAGGCGAGGAGGCGTCGTACAAGAACTCCCAAACACGACACCCCCACCCACCCCAGACCCCTATCCGGTTCCTGCTGCTGTCTATCGTGTGTGTGCTCGCTGTGGTGGTGCTGTGGATGCTGCTGCAGTGCCGTTGTCGCGAGGATCAAGGCGGCCGGCTCACCAAGTTCACACCCACCACTCCCCCGACTGGCAATATTTGTCGGCGATCATAGTTATGCGCCTACCGTGCGCAGCCGGCCTGGTTGTCGCGGCGTGTCCGTGCGTTCCTGGTTTCCTGCTACCGTTACCAACACACGATGTGGGTCAGCAGGGTACACTCTTCGCAAGGCAAGGGTTACGGCTTTCGATGTGGCCTTGTGACCATGAATTCTGTATTCTACCATTTTAACATATGTATTTTGAAAAACAAACTGAGGTGTGCAGAATCGATAATGCTTGGTGTGTATGGTGTGGATCAGGTGTGCGGCGACGCGTTCAACGAGAGGACGAGAGGCGACGGCGACTCGATTGTACGTTGGTGGCAAGATATTCGGCGAGGATGAGCCTACACCACCCCCGCAGGTGCTCCATCGAAGATAAAAAGTGAAAACTTTGGGCTATGTGAAGAGTTTTTAGTGGTCGGGCCTGATGATACTAGGTTGTAGGCTGTGTCTGGTGCAGTACGTGCGTTTCTGTTTCATGCGTGTATCTGTTTCATGTAGCGATTCACCGTTGTACACATCAATGCATGCTATTTCCTATTTCCAAGTATTCCATGCGGTGGGACATTCCAGGGCCAACCCGGACTTATCAAGCCAGCCGTGAAATCCAACCGCAAAGAAGAGGAGGAGGGTGGAGAAGAAGGCGGTTCGGGCGAGACTGGAACCGGGGAGAAGCGGAAACGGAGGAAACGACGGAAGAAGTACGACTTCTCGGACGATTTAGCGGCGAGGGAGCAGGACGAAAAGAGATTAGCAGAAGAGGTAGGCGCGGGGCTACCTTGTAGCGAAGCACATACTCGAACAAAACAATCGGAATGCAGCCTGTTACAGTAGTTTTACTACTGTACATTGCACGGCCACTAGCTGGTTGCTTGCAGGAAGCTTGATAGGACGAAGTGCAGTAGGTCGCGCATTCATCGTTCGTATGCCATGTCTGCGATGATTGTCCACAAGAAAGAGACGGGGAAAGGGCGAGGAACGCGAGAAGTTTAGTGCGCACGTGCGTAGAACGGCCAGAAGAGGCAAAAGGGCCAACGCAATCATCATGGGAAACAGTAGGGTACGTTTGTTCTGCGAGCTGTAGTGTGGTTGTTTGTTGTTTTGATTGATTTCAGGGTACCGACCTCGTGAAATACTTCCTCTTGATGCGAGCTCTTCGGTCTCGGTTCGTGCACGACAGGCATCTACATTATGGATCCTTGCGCGGAAAATGAAGATATCAGCCCTAATTCTTCGCTCCGTTGGTTCTCCTTGTTGCAGCTTGCTCGAAAATTTCCGGATATCGGCCGGGTGAAGGTGGATAAGTTTGGGAATATTGTTGGAGGTGTCAATCCCTTCGAAGGCACAGATGTCAAGCTGGAGGATCAGCCAATACCGGATGATGACGAAAAGGTGTGGGCTGCATTCTGTTTGTCGAGAGGAAAATTTAAATTTCCTATTCACGATGTTTTTGGATGAGATGTTTTGCAGTTTACAAAGGGCAACCAAGGTTCTGACCAATCACAAACAAAAGGAAGCGTAGTTCACTGCATGGATTGATAAAGATGATTCGATTCTCCGGTATGACTATTGTAACAATATGCAAGCAGATAGTACTGACTTTGTTGTGCCCTACGAAGGAGAAGTCATTCACGCTTGACCTAGGATGACATGTCCGATTGCTGCTGTTAGGAGAAACGAGCAATACTGTGGCTAGAAGGTGCTTGATACACGTAGTAGTCAAGAGCGGTAGCAGCTGTTGTCCCGCAGCGTTTTATCGATAAGGGCACCGTATGCTTAAGTTACAGCATTCCAGCCTAACGATTACCGTTTTTGATGTGCGTTCCTTCAGGATTTCCCAGAGGTGGCTGGTGTGATAGCAGGAATGGACGATCCCGCGGATGCGCCTTGGAGGCTGGAGGTGAGACTCTCAGCACAGTAGAAGTTTTGAGCCTTGTACAGCAGTTGCGAAATGTTGGCCGTCGTAGCTAGGCCTCTACCACAGGGAGGAATCACCTGGTCGTCTTTTTACGGAGAGATGTTGAAGCACGTCAGGTACAACCCTGGTATCCGTTCTGCTACAAGATTGAGTACGGCACTAAATAGCACGATAGTCTTATCGCGGAGAGAGAGTTGGGCTCTCTTGCCCCTTTCATGTCGATCGCAAGCAGTTGTTGCTCACACTTCAGAGTCCTGTAGGTGTTAGCTTCGTATTCAATGCAAAAGTTCGCCGGCTGCTCTGCATGGGAGATGGTGTCGTGGTTCTTCCAGCACGCACACCTCCTGAAGATGTCGGTATTGTCTGTCGATACAACAGTGGGTTGGCATAGTTCCCAATAGTGTAAACCTGCATCAAGCTGCCACACGCAACGCAACCGGTTGGCGTCGGTAAGTAAATGTTGCCGACATCACGATGTCATAAAATTTAGAGAGAGAATGAAGGTGCAGGGTTGCTGCCCCTGGCTTTCGTTTGTCGTTCATCCCAGTAGGTTTCTTGACAACCACACAGCTGAAAACACATGTCCAACTCTTGGTACTATTTACTAATTCATCCCCGGCGTAATCATTGCTCGATGGTACATGAGCGAAGCTTCAACATACGTCAAGGCAGCCAAATAGCACCCCAAATCAGACTGACAGGTGTCCCCGAAGGATGTGTTATTGTCGGGGACGAAAGCGAAACACCCCCAACCAAAATCACAGGTTATTTCCGCTAAAGTGCGGGTCGATAGTGGCACACGGTGCTCTCTGGATTTATGGATGGTCATGGTCCTTGGGTGCTGTGGCTATTTCGGCAACTTGTCACCGGCCGTCTAATGCCCCAAGACCAGCAGGCTACCGCAGGGCGTGTAGCGTTGCTTGAGTACAAATATTCACGCCAGGGGATATCTATGCCACTCCGGTCAGCCATGATTTGTTACCTTAGATGTCCTTGGGGCAGTCATCAGGATGCATGTGGTTTCCCCTTTACCTTTGTGCGAGATAGTGCGTGTTGCGTGTGCTTTGACATCCCGTGATTACATCCGGGGCTTTGCCCTGCTCGTAGTTTCAGGTCTTGGTATGTTTGGTTGAACCAACAATGGCCTGGCTTGTGGTACAACATTATTGCCAAACAACTGAAGAGTGCGGTGATGCCTGTGGCGCCTTATCATCCTATCAGTGATTCATTTGAGTGCTGTGACGGAGTTGTCCCCAACTCGAATGTGCAATGCCTGTGATTCTCTGCAGGCGGAGAAGATTGTCCGAGATCAGGTGCAGGCGTGTGGGCTCACCTGCTACGATATCTTGTGGACCTTTCACAGGTTGGAGGTTACCGTGACAAGAGCAGAGGGCGATGGACCCATTGAGGAAGCAGCATATGTGGATAGCGACAAACTAATGCAGGCCATCAAGTGAGCAAGCATGATAGGTGACGGTGGTGATTCCGTTGTTCGGTAGCGAGCAAGCGATGTATCCATCACGTTGATGCAATGAATATTGTTGAGGGCAAAGCTGGTATCAGTACGTCCCTAAATTTGCTACTCATAATAACTGTCTTCTTCCGATGAATCAAGTGAAAACACTGGCTGTGACCCATTCTTCAGGTGGTTTGTTTTCGGAAGTACTGTATTCACAGCTCCACCCAGGCTAAGACTAGAATGAAATTCCACGAGCCATGTATGTGTCTCGCTCATGTCAGGAGACGTACGCGGGAGTGGTGGTACACGTGCAGTCCAGTTCTGTAGTGAGCTAAATCCTCTCTGGAAAAAATCCATTCCCAACTCAGTGTGCCTGTTATTTACGCGTGTTTCGGTTCACGCATGCGCCGGTCCTATCACCCGAATAGCGCTTTCTTTTATGATTTTATGCACTGATTAGCTCGGCTACAGGAGTTGGTGATAACATCCAAAGAGTAATAGCAGCGTGGTTGTTGTACGATCCCTGATCTATGATTTGTTGTGCTCCGTTGATGGTGTTCTGTGTGCAAGGTTAACGGAATTCCAACTTAGACAAGATCGGTGCGGATTGTCTTGATATTTGTGACGACGGTAGGTATGCATGTAACGAACAACACTTGATATTGGTGTGCAGGGGGGTGAACGCTGCGTTAGAGGCGAGGGAAGAGGAGTTGTTCGTGTTGGGGCGGCACGAGCTTGTGGTAGCAACGCCCGGAGCCAAGGACGTCCTCACAACGGACAAGCAGTTCAAGGCCTACAAGGGGTTCGAAGTCATCGTGAAAGCGTGAGTAGCTGCTCTGTGTTCACCTCGAAATTGGTTGTTTCGAAGGACTTCAGCGGCCACAGAAAATGGCCCTCATTGGCAACGCAGCTCTCACCTCAGTATTTAGTGTTGTTGCCATGATGCGGGACAGTGCGTAACGACCGCGTTAAAATCGACAAGCTAGTACGGACAGCCTTGCCTCATTCTGATGTAGACGCACACACAACCACCAGTCCCTGAGTGCCTGAATGCAAGACTATGTGTGCATTAATTATGTTTTGCATCTCACAGCGTTCGCTGTCACTAGGAACAAGTGGCCCGCGAGTGCACGGAACAGAGGCAGACGATGTGTTCCGAACTAAAGAGTCATCGTTGCCTTCGAAAACGTCACACAACACACACTGCTGTGTCACGCTAAACAACCACGCTGCTGTACAGCACACCACAGGGCGACCACTCCTCCCAGTTCAAAAAGTAAAGAAGATGTCGTGTCGTGCTGCGTAAACGAACGAATGAAAGTAACTGTCGAAACGCGAGAAATAATAACTTCCATGGGGTTGGTCAACAAGGTTTGCCCCGAACCTCTCATTGGCTGGCGAAGTATGTAGACACAAGCCATTCAGGCGCCGAAGGGATGTCCATCCTGTTGGACATTGGAGGGGGCTTACATCTGATGGCGAATGCGAAAATTTTACGCACAAATTGATCGCACCAATATGGTGTCTGGAGCACCTGCGGCAGCTGCTTGTTTCGAGGCCGAGACTGCTGAACATGGACGCTGCCAAACATTGAGGCAGGCACCAATCAAGCTCAAACTTATGTTAAGTGTTGCAAGGCGGCCGTGGAATGACTTCTCGCGCCTCGGGGGAAAATTTTTCGTGGTTCGGAGCTTCCGGTTGCACATGATCGTCTCAACCACAATTTGTTTGTACCGATGAAACCAAAATTGTTGCCCACAAACACCATGGCGCCAAGACCTTTGCACCGCCGGTAGGAGAGTCCGATTGAAGCGTTACCATATTTTTACCCTAATTTGGAACTGACTCAGCCGGTCGCCTGTCGCTCTAGTCCCATGCTCGCTGACGCGGCTGTGACCGTGGTCGTCGCCCGAAACTGCTGCTCGGTGTTCCTTTTCAGATACATCTCTTCACCACGTATCTACACGGCTACAGGCGAATACATACATACCGACGGTGCACGTTTTCACAGTCGCTACTTCGCTGGCACGTATCGCTGACGTACTTGCGTGCAAAACCTCCACAGCAGTCGGTCGTTGCATTGAAAAGGTCGACAGCAACCGGGAAATAGTAGGTATCTCTCCCAGCAGTTTCACAACAAAGTCACCAGCGAAAAAACAAATTTATTTATTGCTGATTTGTCCCGGACTCTGATGGGTGGATCGACATGAATCCGATGTGATTTTCTGAAAAAACACAGTTTTAACTTTTCATGTCGCTGAACCGCTAACTTTCTGATTTTTTGCGTCGTTTATCACAGGGGAGGACCATTCAAGAAGAAGCGCGAGTTGAAAGGAAAACTACTTGAGCGTACTTTCGACGAGCTCATGATTATGAAGGCAGGGCGAAAAGTGCGAATTCCTTTGGCACTTGTGGACGAGGTCCGCCTTCCTCCGGCGCTCGTCGAAGCCGGAGACGAGGTTTTTTGAAACATCGGCTGCAAAGAATGCTTTGTCACCCCTTGAAGAGCAACGCGCAGCATGGTATATCATGTGCAACGTATCTGGAACCGAGTTTACGCTCGTCGTGCGCTGAGAGGCTGAGGTTGGTCGCACAGTTATCAACCCTCACGCAACGTTTTGGCGCGAGGCTAATGTGGAGTATGGTCGTTTCAAAGAATACGTTGTCATGCAATGTAGTCCGTCCGGTTAAAATTTCCATGTTTTGCCAGAATCACTTGGGAATGGAATATGTTCCTAGTGACTGACATACACCCTGTAGTGACATAAAATTAGAATATATCGTGAGAAATCTTGTGTGTTCGGCGGATCGTTTGATCGGAGCGGGTTTTTATGATCTTGTTTGCGATTCCGTCAAGATTTTGCAAAACATTTTGAAATAGTTTTTGTAGCCGAGTGTGGGGTGTACTTATTTTTTCAGGCCGGTTTTGAACAAACCACGCCGAGGAGCTCATTGAGACTTAACGTTTTCTTCAGTTGAGTCCTTTTGGGACTAATTACAAAAGCGCATGAGGCGACCCACTCAGAGTTTCGTATTTTGGGGAGATGTTCACCGGACGAATTGGACCTGCACCTTACCAAGTCAAAGTACGCATGAGTGGAGGCACGCTTGCCGCGTCGCCGAGACATTTCGTTTATCCTGCAACAAGGAACGGTTGTACAACTTTGGGCTTAGCACTTACATGCAGATGGGTCAGTCATGACGGAACTAGTGCCGGCGTTGTGGATATGAATTTTTGAGCAATCGTCGGTGTTGGGAATAGATTTGTGTCAACAACCTGGTATCTACAAGTATTACTACCCGGTTTTGGTTCAACATGAGGAGCTACGCATACATACCCCGTTGTTCCTATACTACAGTATCACATACATACCTATCATTCCCCAGAGCCAGTTCTCCTTGTCCTAGCCTCCTCTAGCCATACATATTTTTTGTTACTGGAAATATATCCGAGGCGATCGAGGCACACGCGCCGCAGTTTTCTATTTACCGCACGCAGTAGATACTCGCTTTACTCCGCAACAGCAGTAGTAGTCTATAGGCACAAGACAATTTCAAATATTTAATGTAATGCGTGCTGCCGAAAACCGGGTTGACATAGCTCAGCCGACGCTCCTACTCTGTCTGTGGGTAAAAAACTGTACTTACATACGAAGAGTCATGTTACTGAAGACAAAATGAAAATAAATATTGAGTGGAACCTGGAAATATTTGAGAGCACATACTATACTATAACTTGCTCGATCGTGGCGACGAACTACGATAATATTGGAGTTCGCCCAAAATTGACGTTCCCATCTCCGGCAGGTGCAAGTAGTGTTGACATTGTGTGTAATGGCAATATTGACAGCTGAACTGACGGTGGTGTCAAATGAACAGGCCAGCAGTCCGCGTCAAATAGACGGGGATTCCGCAGCATACACACCATAATAATACTTGGCCAGTACTGTAATGGGCGTTGTTCCCGTGTGCGGTACCCCCTTGCTCAATCAAGCAAAATCAACGAGACATGTTGGTTGCTCACATGTGCTCATTGTTGTGTTGAACGCTTGGACGGACCGACACTCTAGGCCGTTCTTCAGCAAGCTTAGGCCATGAAAACTCACCAGCTGGCGTTAGTTGCGTTAGGAGCTACTGGAGTGGAATCGTTCTTGCCTCCTTGCACCCATGACCCTTTAGCAGTTGGGAGAGCAGCTTCCGATAAGAGCAGGTCCAACATGCGCATGGCCGCTTTGGACTTCAGTGCTTCACCCGTCAATACCCGGGAAACCTTCCAGCGCACAATGGATCTGGCACTTGAAGAAACAGGGGCAAAGAAAAAAATTGCGTTGCTTGGTTCGACGGTGAGCACCTGTGTGTCGCATTTCTGGGAAAGCAGACACCGTTTGGATGCAACCCACAAGCAGCGTCTCTATCTTGCTCTATTTAGACGTACAACCACAGAGGTAGCATAGTGGCGCATAACGCAAGTTGAGCACATACGCATACCACACTGCTGCGCTCCTCACACGCAATACGCTGCAAGCGTTGGCAACAGTCAGTGTATACCTGGGTTGAGAGGATTGTATGCTAAAACGTTTGAACGGCGTGCAACATACAGCAGTACGGAATATGTCTAGATTACGAGATCGGGTACATTTTTTTTTTTTTGTCTTTACTTCACATCAGCGCTCACAGCACTAGTGCCGTTTACTCCAACCCGTGGTCACACAGAAGAGCCCTTCTCTACCCTCCCCTCCTGCGGTACTTTGCCCTTCGATTTTTAATACGAGAAGAGTTCAGCACTCTCTTCCCTCTGTGTACACACGAACTAGCGCTATCCACTAGGCCAGAAGCGGAAGCGAGAGAAAAACTCACTTTGCAAGCTCGCTTACGCCGGAACCCCTGACCTGACCTCTAGAAGGTTTCGAGGATACCAACTAGACCTTGCTCAGGTTGAATACTGTCGAAAGTCGCAAGCGAGCTCCGATCACACCCGAAATATCTGTGTATATTCCTCAGCTTAGAAAACGTTGGTCACCAAGAAACCGTCGGTTGTCGAATAGCAGTACAGCGGTTGGAGCTATCTCCACCAGCATATGAGATGCATACTATTATAGAGTATGACCTACAAAGCATTTCCTCTCAAACCGAGCAAAATTCAGGAATTAACTCTTGGAAACTAATTAATGAGACGAAACGGCCAAACGAGCGGGCTTTGTTGTTTCAGAAGGGTCATTGGGTCGGTACGTTTCCTGCACGACCTCAAATTTCGAAGTTCTAGCTATCAGTAGAGGGCTCCTGGAGCAGCGTTCCCGCTGCCATGCTCAGATATGCTGTGTGCTGTGTATGATGTCGAACGCTTCAGAATATTGCACAAAGCCGGGCCTACACCGTTACTCTCCTGGAGCACGGGCAGTGTGCAGCAGTAGCTCATTCGGAAGTAAATTTGGGTGACCCACGATCGAAGGGAACGGGGCTCGTGGCCGCGACCAGCTGTGACGAATGTTGGGTTGATCCCAGATTTTCATTTTTTAACCTACATGTAGCTGAAGCCCTCGGTACCAGCAACACATTTGAGCATGCCAACGCGCATGTAGCATCTCGGTCGAGACACGAACGATTGAAGATACTTTCAACTATTTGGCCAAAACTGTTCATTATTCCCCTACAGTGTACTGCTTGTACCTCTTTCAAATGGTGAAGGCTGGGTGTATTTTTTATGATATTAACTGCAGAAAATATTCAAAATGTATCGCGTTCGTGTGCTCTATGATGCGTTGGGCAGGGCTCCATCGGCACGCAGACGTTGGACATTTGTCGGGAGAAGCCCGAGAACTTCGAGGTTGTGTCTCTTGCTGCTGGATCCAACGTTGACCTTCTGGCGAAGCAGATTGCTCTCTTCAAGTGAGTGTTCTAGACCATGCTAATGATATAATAGGCAAGAGCGTAGCTTCACTGGCGACAGAAACAAAAGCTTGGATACGGTGCGTACGGCCACGGTTTTTCGTCCAGACAGGACGCATTGTGAACAGCCCGAGGTAGCTTCGGTAATAACCCGAGAAATGCATATCTCGTCTGATGTTGCCTAAGTTGTCGGGAAAACGCTTTCGTAAGTATATTGATATGTTGTTCGCCGAGGCGTCCGCCGCGGATGCAAGAGTCACATACGCCCGGGTTGAACACACACGCTTCGTCCTTGACACGGTAAACATTTTTACATGCCCTTTCAGAGGTCGACCTATTGATTTTCTTTCGGCAACTGCAACATGCAAAGTGGATGATTGTTATTGTTTCCTCTCCTTTCTCTCCCGAATCGCCCAGGCCGAAGATGGTTTCTGTGGCGACGGAGGACCTCGTCCCCGCACTTCGTGAGCGCCTGTCGGACATGGGGGTTAGAGGGGTGAGCGAAGGAGACAGGGTTCTCACCATTTTCGTACAAGAGTGTTTGTTTCCGAAGCAAATCCTTGTGGTGAAGGCACTCTGCAGGAGACCGAGCGCGCGCAGCGTGTTGTGTTTGGCTATGGAGAAAACTAGTTCGCTAACTGACTACCCGTTTTTGTGTCCAATGACACAGGCAGACCTGCCAACCGTCACCTCGGGTGCGGAAGGGATCGTTGCCACTGCGTGCCACGATGATGCCGACACGGTTGTGACAGGTGTGTTACATTAGACCGAGGTACTCCAAACTTTTGAGAATCACCTGTGGCTGCCAGATCCTTTCGGAGTTTTGTACATTCTTCACGTGAAACGCGACACTCGACTTGACTAATTGGAACATGCTTGCAGTACGCATCTGATGAACTGCAGAATGGACGGCGTCCAAAATTCTGCAACAGGCGAGGTTGTTATTATATTTTTCGCACAGATGGCAAGCTGTACGACAACTGGTAGTCGGTTGCTCCCCTATGTTGGTCGAAACGGTTCTTCCCTTTGTAGTTTGTCGTGGCGTCTTGCCTTGATGCGGTCAGCTCACCTCCGATTTTTCTGCTCCGAAGGTATCGTCGGCTGTGCAGGGCTACTCCCAACAGTTGAGGCTATCAAGAGGAAGAAGACCATTGCGCTGGCGAATAAGGAAACTCTCATTGCCGGTGGACCAGCAGTACTCCCCCTCCTCAAAGAATATGGCGTGGACATGGTTCCTGCTGATTCTGAACACTCTGCAATCTTCCAGTGCCTGCAGGCAAGATGTACTCCATATCGGCGGTACTATGCGCCAGTACTGTAGCTCTGACACCCCCAGCAAAATTCTTGAGGATTAGGGTTAGGGAGTTGCTGTAAGGGCTTAGGCTTGGGGTAATACGAAAGCAAAGACGGGGATCGGGTTGACGAGGCGGAGGGTCAAGGACGGAGGTTTATGTTTTATGCTGATGACATGCCTCCTGTTGTATTGTAGGTCATGTTGCCAGATTATAATATCAGTATCCGCACTATTGTGTCCCCTGGGGCATGTCATATCCTTATGGCTGAAAAAATGATCAAGTTTTCATTTTTTGAGGCTGCGCAAGGTTCCTCACCGTCCCCTTTGTCCCCGGGGCTCCGCGATGGTTTTTTGTTCCCCAACCATATATATTTTTTCTCAGGTCAAACTGCTAGATAAAAAATCACGGGCGGTGCCCGTGCCGGCTGCTGTAAGATCTCAGTTCCCCTCTGACGCTTAGCCCCAGGAGACACAAACATCTGCATCTTGTTGGAGAAATGATACCAGCTTGAGCAACCTCGTCGACAAATTCAATCGGAGATCCTGTTTTGAATCTCCAAGCCTGTTTTCTCTGACACGTGGCAAAACGGGGGCCCTAACCCTAACCCTAGCCCAACACATTCACAACGGAAATCGGGTGTCAAACTGAGATCCTGATTTCAACCCCCAAACCCTGATTTCTGTGAAACGTGACAAAAAGGGAGCCCTAACCAAGACACACACAACGGAAATGGGGTTTCAAAGTGAGATCCTGTTTTGAATCTCCAACCCTGATTTTCTGTGACACGTGACAAAAATGTGCCGCTTATCAGTTTAGGCCGTGTAGCGCGAGATCGAGGTGTTTGAAGCTTTGCGATTTGAGGACAATCTTCCCGCCGAGATTTTCGGTGAACCAGCGCAACAGGTGTGCTGCCGTTGCCGACAGCTACAGCTCGCCACAATCAACCACACGCTCGAAACTGCCAGAGCATTACCGATATGGTGTATGAGTGGTGTCGCATGACTTGACAGCAGCAGCAGACAACCAGAAACGACTCTAGAGGTGACCTGCATGTAGTTTCATGCAGCAGCCCGAAATTTGGCGAAAATGACGGGTCTTCTGGGTCCTTTGACTGGCCGCCGCCGTTCTCTACGTGTGTATGCCCGGTCAACAAACGGATTGAACACGAATGTAGCTGGTTCACCGGGTGTTCTCAAGCTATTGAAACATGTAGAAGCTTTGGATTTGGCACATTTTTACTTGTGCGGTCTTCCGTCTCCCGTAAACATCTGCTTTTTGCGCATCCCTTACTCCAATTTCAAGTTGTCTCGTTTGGATCTGCGAAACACTATCCCCTTTTTACAACGCCTTTTTGGTGAGCATCCTTGCATACTAGCCTTACGCGTTCGTCTATCCGTTTATTCCGTCCTCGGTTGCCTGTGCCAGGGATTCCCACCAGGCGCACTTCGTCGGATTATCTTGACAGCTTCTGGGGGTGCTTTCCGTGACTGGCCGGCGGCGGACTTGGCGAAGGTGAGCATAGAGCGTTTCCGGTATGTTTGGGCTGGTGTTGCAGGGTGGAAACGTCTGTAAAGAAAGAGCAGAGCAAGAGAGAAGTTGCTCGGGTTTTACACCCCTTTTGTGGCTTTTCTCGTACTTCCGATGCGAGAAACGCAGCGCTTTGCATTGACCTATTGGTGCTGGAATGGCTAGCTTCAGATTTATGTTGTCTCACGCGTTTTCGCGTGCACGATGTCTTGCCACAACCTGCATTTTGCCTACGAATGAGGTGCGTACACTTTTGCCCACCGTACCACCGCAGGTGACTGTAGCTGATGCGCTGACGCACCCAAACTGGGACATGGGTGCAAAGATCACCGTGGACAGTGCCACGATGATGAACAAGGGTCTTGAGGTAATCGAAGCTCACTATCTCTTTGGCGCGGACTACGATGATATTGACATCGTCGTGCATCCCGAGAGCATCATCCATTCCATGGTGAGCCTACTGTAGGTAGGGTATGAGTTCGACCACAATCTCCTGTCGGTGGGGCACACGACTGCCGTTATTGCACTTCATGGACTGATGGTGTTTGTAACCCTAACCCTAATCTGCGGTGGCTGTTCGCGAATCATACACCCGAGAGTGCTTCCCGCACATGACCCACTGCTCTCACCCATGTCGTCACGCTCGATATCTGACCATTCGAATGCGAATCGTGTCGAAATTTGCACCAAACGCTTCCAATGCAGGTCGAGGCTCAGGATACAAGCGTTATTGGGCAGTTGGGGTGGCCGGACATGCGACTGCCATTGCTCTATTCGCTCTCCTGGCCGCATCGAGTACGTATGTCATACGACAAGCTGGACCTGGCAAAGCTGTGTGAGTTTATGTTTCCTCGCGTGATGTACTCAAAATGTATTTTGCTTGAACGATCATGTCGTCTACAGCCAAGATTCGAGGATTTTACTCTCCACGACACTCTTTCCGGCTTTACTTATTTGGTGTTTGGTTCTGCTCTGTGTTAGTGGCAACTTCTTGGTAGTATAGTAGCGGACTAGGCAAAATGAGGCAGCGATTGTGCGGCGCCTACCTCTTAAGCGTTCGGTCTGCTCGTCTGCACGGAAAAACCCCTCTTTGTTGGTAGGGCTTGAATTCTCCTGTGGGCATGAACACTTGGTGAAATGGTGAATGAAATATGCACGCTCCACCGCGGCTGACAGGTGATTGTGTCATACCCTCTTCTGTCCCGGTATATCCTAATCTTGGCAGCTAAGATGACGTTCAAGGAGCCTGACCGTGTCAAGTACCCGTGTATCGACCTGGCCTATGCTGCTGGTCGAGAAGGAGGGAGCATGACTGCTGCGATGAATGCTGCTAACGAGCGGGCAAACGAGATTTTCCGGAAGGAAGTAATTTCTGTGAGTTGTGGCCCTCTATTCTTTCTGTGCAGTAGATGAAGCACGAGTAACTCGAGCATGTCCGGTCCTCACACAACGTTTTTGTGGTTCACGTGCACAAGAAACTTTGTCGATACTTCCTCTTTTGTCACGATTATTTCTCGATGGCAGGAGCGCGCGTTGTTCCCTTCCGAATGTTTTGATCGGGCTTCCATCGAGTACTGGCGTGTATCACCGACCCTATTTCTCCCGCTTCGATGGAATTTCGCAGTTCGTGGATATTCCACGAGTGATCGAGGTTGTAATGGAAGCTCACAAGGCAGACCTCATGGCAACACCGTCCATCGAAGACATTGTCAACGTAAGTTGGGGCGTCGATGGTCCGCACCATACAGTGGTTCGATAGCGATTCGTATCGATGGGTGTTCCGTAGTGGCGCGCAAGTCGCCGGTGTGGGTTGGACGAGCGTTTGTGTCAATTTGAGTCTCCCATGCAATGCCTGTGTAACTGCAATATGGACGTACAACATGCTTGGTTTGTTTCCCACCGGTGGAAATGTTGCAACATTGTTGTTGCGAGGGTTAGGGCACTTACTGCAACAATGGGTCGTTACGAGATTATTTGCGAGAACTCAAGTCCAAACGGGTGGCTGTTCGTGCGATTACCGCCAGGTGGATCTGTGGGCAAGAGGAAAGGTGGACGAAGCCGCTGCACAGCTCAAGGAGCTGGTTGGAGCTTAGACTAGAATTTGCGCACTTGATTGAACGTGTGTTTTGCTCGTGCTCCGTCTATCTAGACAAATACATTTAGGGAATAAAATCCACTCTCTAGTTTTTGCTTGTGTGGGTGATGTCCATGTATTCTGGGCGTCCATGTTTACACCTTTCGGTGTACATGTATGTTTTGGACGCACCAGCGGGTGGTTCACACATTCACAGAAGGAAGGTCCAAAGACTTTTTCTCCTCCTTCCTTTCGCGGTGCTGCCTTCAATGTGTCATCGTGACAAGGGTCCCTCCGTCCTTTTCGCCTCGGCGACGTCAAGTTCGACTTTGCGTTACTCGTTGCGCACACTTTTCGGCGGGCATGCATGAGAAAAAAAAACACACACACACACATGTCGCGTGACTGTGCCAAGATCCGAACCCTCGTGTCCAAACTTTGGCAGGTTTCAACTGAAGCACCGAGGTATTTTACGAGGTCCGCATATCATTTGTCACCGCATCCGTTGGGTTTCCCAAGCCATACGTGGCTAACGCTCTCTATCAAGCACCTGTTCAGTAGTACCAATGGGGGGCGAAGCGGCTGATATTCACGATGACATGTGGTTCACTGGTGCCCACTTGTGAAACAGAATTCTCAAGCCCTGTGCCACACACGGACATAATTCTCTAACCCTAAGCGACCAACTTGGAGAAGGTGACTACAGATGAAAGGCGAATGCCGAATGACTAATCAACACACGCATACGGCCCGTGACAGCGCTCCGATTGTCTGCCAAAGGTCGACAGCCACCACTCAACTACGTTGAAATCACAGCGCGACAGCACTTCACAACACAATGTACATGCCTTCAACAGGATCGTACGGTGTGAGGACTCGGCACCGGAACCACAACGTGCATTGAAACACCTTGACTGACGAAGACCCGTCCTCAACCCTGTGTGCAATGATGCTCATGACAATACTCTCGGTGTTTCCCTAGCCAAGAATATTAAAACGAATACGCGCCACTAATCCAACTTCGCTTTTGGAGATTCGGCTGGACCGTCCGACTCCTCGTCCTTGGATTCGGCAGTGATTTCCTGCAAGGGGAGGCAACAACACAGGTCTTGCGTATCAGATCTGCTGCAGTGAGAATAGGTGGACGGACAGCGCTTCTCGGCATTGCGATTGTGTCATGTCAACAGAAGGCTGCGGATGGACCAAGGATCCAACCAGCACCGTATCTCACGCACAGCGCTTGTGTGGGGAAGACGTATTTACTTGACACGAGCGATTGTACGTACCTTGGACACCTCCACGTCAGCTTTTGACCCCGTCTTCGTGGGCTTGGTAACACTGACGGCGTCGTTCTCGGAAGAGGTGGTTGTGTCTGCCTCCTTTGGCTCGTCGTCCTCGTCGTCCTCATCGTCATCGTCGTCCTCTGCCTCCTCTTCCCCCTCAAGTTCCTTCTTGTACTTGGGAGGAAAGCCTCGAGCAGTGTTCACCACGTCGTACCCGTGTTTCATCGCACGATCCCAGTTGTCGTCGTCCTCGAAATACTCTTCCTCCGTCAAGCTAGTTGTGCGGGACCAAAACTGGGCGTTCCACTCCTTCTCCAGGAACTCCTTGGCTTCTTTCTGAGCGAGTAAGACAAGACACCCCCGCAAGTCCATGAGTTGTCAGCAAAACCTGTCTCGGTAACCATTCACTGTCACGGCGAGCACTCGTCCACAACAAATTCTTGAGATACTGATGAATCCTACACGTGTGGTTTTAACAGGGCTTTTGTTCGACTGTCCATCTGAAAATACGAAAATATAGCAGCATGTCAACGTCGGTGGGCAGGCTGGCATACTTACTTCGACCAGCTTGATGTCGTCTTCCTGTCGCTTGATGGCGTTCTGCTCCCTTATTGCGGCGTACTCCGCCTCCCTCTCTTCTTGGAAGGCCTTCTCCTGCGCCTCCAGCTCTTCCTTCGACGGTGGAGGCTTATTCTTCTGCAAACCATAAGAGCACAATTATCGATCAAGGGTAACGCATCCGCAACGTGGACCATGTAAACATGAAAACATGTGGGGAGTAAAGGCGCACATTCCAACAAGTGATCAGCCGTGAATGCCATATATGCCGACGTGCTCACCTCCGCCTCCTCGGCCTCCTTTATTGCTTGGTACTCCAGAAAGCCGCCGGAAATGAGCGTGCTCATTTCAGTTCGGCGATCAGTTCCATTTTGACGCAACTCCTTGAGGTACGCGAGAGCGATGTCATCGCCCTTGCCAAAGGCAAAAGCCTGAGAGTGAATGCGGGGGAGTGAAAACACGGGCGAAGTTTATTATTCCAGATCGTGGGGGATACCTGCTTGACCTTGGGCGTGCCAGACGGGGCAAGGGAGCATGAACAGACCAAACGTCATTAGTAGAACGCAGCACACGCGCCCGATTGTCACCATCCCCAACCAACTACATCCGACCGTTCACCAGGAACGGTAGCTTTGCTGCATCGTGTAGCATCGTGCGTTGAATGTCGGCAAGTATCTAACGAAGCCGCACCATGCAAGGGATTGTATACCGTATTCGTTCCCCGTCGTAGCGCGACCGTGACCGGAAACAGTGTGAATATTCCTGAAACATGCCGGAAGAGACAGCTTTTGATAGGTACACCTCGGGGGGCGCGATCATGCATGGAAGATAATCAATCAGGTGTTGTCGGTTTGAAACGCAGTGCACGGGTCACAGGACTGCGGCATCTCACCGTGTTAGTGGCGTTCTCCATCATGAACGCCTCCGCGCTAAGACGGACAATGTCGTCGCGTACCACTTGCTCCATGGGAAGCTCATCCGTGACATTCCCCACCATGACCGACCCGCCCTCCTTACCCTCCACGACCTCGCCGACACGAATGAACGTGTATTCTAGCCCAGAATCCTTCGATAAATGTAACACATGAGAATCAAGTAGGAGCGGGGGGCAGAAGGGGGGGGGGGGTCATACCGGAGGCCCCTACTGACCGTTTTGCCAAAGGCGACAGCATCCTTACAAACTTGATTTGCAACAGTGCCTCTTGCACGGGGAGGCCCCGAATAGTGTCAACCTCTGCAATTGTGTAAACATGCAAGCATCTATTTAGCTACGGCTGCAACACGCGGGCTCACGTTCGAGTTCCATTCCTTTAACCAACAACTCTGCATGACTTTCATCCCACCACGACTGCACCCACCATAAAGTAGATTTCGCAGAATAATGCTTACGGCAGATTGGCATCGACCTTTGAATGGATGACCTGCGAGCTCTACGAAACCCACCTTTCCTTTCAGCATGGGCAGATGCGCACAATCTACACAAGCATCTTCCCTACGCTTGCGTTTTTTGCCGTGGCGTGCTTTGTTGCTGCTACTGTAATACTCGATATCACAACAACTGGGGAACCGCCCCACCAAGCACAACGGCAACTCCGAAAGTGAAAGCTCCAATGAGACGACGGTTGTTCGGAGATTTGTTCCTCCACCGGTTTGTCAGACCCAGTTTTGAAAGATACGAGAGCCCAAAATTATTCGGAAATTTCTATGAGAGGACCCTGTTGTTCTTGTCGATGTTACCGTCTGTTTCAAACGACGTAACGATATCTGCTCGGGCACCTTCAAATGCTCTTAACATGTACTGGTTCAACTTAGGCCGACGCGTTCCATGGTCAAAAGGCGAACTCCCGAAGTACACTAACGTATGCCTATGAAACCAACCAGAAAAACGGGACTCCGAAAAATCAACGCAATCTCGATCGATGTGCGTTTGCGAACTCGAAAACAAGAAAATACTTCGCAGCACGTGACATATTCCGGACAAAGTAAATCGATGAGATCGACGCTGCACGTGAAAAACATGTTACTTGCACTTGTAGCACGCCTCTGAACGCCAACACCTGGAGGTGAGCCCACACTCCAAACTTTGAATCGGCGAGCAGCACACGCCATAATTGATCAAATAATACATGTGAAGTTTGGCAACGTGATTTAAATAAAACGCAGCAGGAAGAACCTGACGACTGCCGTTTCGCGGTACGTAAGGGCGGTGTTAGCTTCGGCCTCCGTCACGTTCTTCCTGAACGTTTTGTATTGAGGTTTGCCCGAGTCCTTACAACAATAACCATCCATATCTGAGTGTTGAGGTGGCGAGAGCAATATACATGTGGGGTGGTTGGTTTTACTTTTTTTGTCTGGTTTTGGCAGGGCATAATTCAAGGGGTGATGCAAGAGTATGCAAAAAGCAGACAGAGGGGTAAACTTCGCAAAGTAATTGAGAAGAAGACACTATGATCACCGGTTGAGGGCGTTTGCGGGGTATGAAGGGGACAGGGTGGAGTAGTGGCCCGAATGTTGGTGCCAGAGGACGTCGAGAAGGTTTGGCTGGGGTGGATGAGGCGGAGGCGGGAAAGAGGTGCCCGCTGTCCTTACTTCGATGGTTAAACCGTAAAGGTGGGAGGCGGCAGCAATCTCGATGTATCCTGCGTATGCAGTAGGCAGGGCCATGATTTGCAAATATTGCGCGAGAGAGTGGTAAGACTGCGCGGCAGAACCGAGAACTTTTGTAATTCTAAACACCAACAGACCAGCAGACGCAGATTTTTTACGACTACGGATTTGTGTTGATTTTTGAGTTAACTTTTCCCTTGGATCCGCTTACATGACTCCGAACCTGGTCGGTATTTGATTTTGTGTCGAATTTTCAAATTCTGCCCATACCTTCAAGGCGTCCTCCACTCCTGCACTGGACGCGTCGGCCGCAGAGACGGTGGACGAGATCACCATGCTCTTCACGCCAGCCTTTTTGGCGAACTCGACCGACTCCTTGATCTTGTCGCCTTCGCAGTCGAAACACAACCATGCTGAGATCCCCTTGAGCTTTTCCTCCATGGTTGCTGCGTCGTACTTATCTCCCTCCTCGAACTCCAACACATCCAAGAGTCCGCTGTAGCGAGACTTGCGGCTCACCAACCGCTTCTTGGCAAACGAGACGCTATCGGAAAACGCGACAATCTTCTCCCACCGGCCTTGCGCCTGCAAGATATCAAACACAAACTGGTCCGTGCGCTGCTTCGAGTTTAAAAAGCCCGTCACCAACACCTTCCCCCCGTCAGCGCTCATAGCGATATCTGCCGCCCTCTGGCGCGCAGCTGGCAACCCAGAGCGCTCATTGTTTAATCCCGTGCCGTAAGAACCTGATCTGCTGACAAACGAGTTCACACCAGGCTGTAAAAAGATCAAACCATGGCGTCCGGCGTCCGGCGTGCAGCAAGGGGGCGGCGGCGGGGCGAAAAGCCAAAAGCAAGCTTCAGCGCTGGAGCGAGAAAGAAAAAAATGCCCTTGGGGACACGCCCTTTCTGTACCGATCGCACAAACCACCACGTTCAGTATGTATCGATGATAAACCAGCAACGTTTCAGCCCAAGACAAGAAAAGGACTCCCGCTCAACGTGTGTCTACATCATCCTTCACGGGTCGCTGGACTGTAGCCGCAGCGTTCGACGAGATTTCCTGGGTATGAAATCTGCTTGCGGCACATGATTTTCCTACAAGTAGTCAGTCTACACGTCTTCGGGTACACGTATGCAGCAAATCGTCGCTGCTGTTGTCACGTATCCTCACCGCAGGAAGAAAACTTTCCACGCTAGTCGCGAGAGCCAAGCTTAGGGCGAAACAGCGCCGCATCACTTTCCCGTTCAATGCGTTCACTTCCAGCGTCGTGTGCTGCGATGGCTGTGGTGTAAAAGGCCCTTCGCCGCTGGACAGACACGGAGCACACTCCCCCCGGGGGACACGCAGCCTGGAGATAGGGCTATATCTCCTAGTCTACGGCACCCCCGCTGACACCTGACTCCGGCAGCGTCGTTGTCAGTTGTCATACTAGCCTTCGTCGGCGCCCTCAAGCCCCCCGCATTCGAACCGCACAGGTTGACCCCAACGACTGTTCATCGACTTCGGGAAAGTTCGTGGCCATCAAAGTGCGAGTTTCCCTCGTTCTCAGTTCCAACTCTGCCCCGCCGGGTTATTGTACTTCGGAAAGAGGGCAGAGGAACGAAGAAGAGGGAGGTCCTCGGTGGGCGAAGAGCAGGGACGGCCCCGGTATTGAGAAGCGTACGGGAAGGGGAACGGTGAGGAAAGGGATGTTACCGTTCTTCCTCCTCGCTCTCCTCCCATTACTTTCGGCGGCATGTGCTCTTGTGTCGGGGTTCATAGGCGATGACCTGTCTGCCGCAAGAGGTGGCGGCTTGGCATTTTGTCTCCAACCCGAACTCCCTCGACATGGACGCTCGGAAGCCGTGGTGGGAAAGGACTCATCCACCGTGGGGCCGAGGAGACAGGAGAAGACCGCTATTACGGTGAGCACGTGAACAAATGAGAACAAAGCGCGTGTACCCGCGGACAATGACATTCATTTGTGCGTGTGCAGTGGTATTGTAGCACAATTTAGAAGTGTTGAGAGACGAAGGGAGGCGCAGAAAAAAAGAGCGAATTGAGAGTGACCGTGATGATGCGAACGACAGCGTGCATGAAACGAAACGTTGATGACCCCAGTCACCATCACCAAAATGTTAAGTTCCGCTCTTGTGACTCATGGGGACGTTTCTGGTGTAAAGTGAACACGCGTTGGGGTTGGACATTTACATCAGAGCTTTCGCGCCGGGTCGGAGAGATAAAAGCGGAAGAGAAATATCTTGGAAGTGAAGTTGCTGAACCACTTTCTCCGCTCACCAGGCACGCTTGTTGACTTTAGTTGCTCTTAACCGGAACATCATCAAATTGGTCGAGAGCACAGCATTGAGAGTGCAGGACAAGCTCATCTCTCACCTTTGGGTGCATAAACCATGAGCAAGCCCTGTGGCAAGTTTTGAACCCGGTCACTTATCATTTTTGGCAGGCTGTTTTTGTGTTTTTCGCTACAGCAGTGCATCCTTCAACATGTCACACCACGTGGATTTGCAATCTCACAACTACAACTTCACAAGCTGCTTTTCTACAACTTCACAAGATGAAGTTGGACGGGTATGCGTGTGCTGAGAGCAAACCCGCACACAAACATATCGTCACGAGTAGAGGGGGAAAGTGATCTCCCGACGAGGGCATGTAATCAACTTCAGCTCGTGAAGTTCTCTGAAGTTGTGACGTGAAAGGCTTGGGCAATTTCAACGCCGACCTGCACCCGCTCGAACAACTGCTGTAGTCTGTGCACACGCAGGTCTGTTACATGTATTTACACAGAAAGACTACCCGTTCGAGATATTATATATACGGCTTGCTGTACCTCACGCCTCCTTGCTTGCCTGCGACATGTGTTCTCTTGAGATTGACTTATGCACACAAAATCGTTGCAATATCCACATGATCGCTGAATCAATGGGCTATACCAGTATATAACAATGCAGTTCATCCTTCCCCGCCCCGCCCCGTGAATTAGATGCTGACGACGACGCGAACCTTCGGCGCTGGAAGCATGTGGCCGGCCACCTCCGCATCCGGCGGAATTGGAAGCGGCGCTTCACGCAATGATCGGGCCAGCCCTGGTCGCCGCCGGCCCCGCGCTCGCACGAGCGGCTCATCGTCGGCCAACTCCGACTCAGCTCTCCATGCAATGGCTATCCCAGCGCGCTGCGCGCTACCGTCTGTCGATCTCTTGCGCCAGGCTTACGGCCCCAGGCGTCACTTCTGGGGCGATTTGACTCCGGCGGAAACAAGGAGGTTCTACCACGAACTGCTTCCCGTGAGCGTTTACGTGGACGCAGTCGGTGCGAAGGCCATATGTGATGGAAATGAGAGACCATTGGGCGGTGGCATGAGCGGGGGTGGCTTGGCTACGGTGGTCGACGTCGCAAATAGGCAACAAGGCGGGCATTGGGAATATTTTTTCGGAGCCGCGGAGACTCTGGAGGAGCGGGCTCGCCTTGCGTCGATGGCAAGGCATGCGGCAAGACTTTACGTGCGCGAGCGCTGCAAGCTTCCATCTCGCGTCGTGGCGCATTTGTATGACGGGCTTCGGCACTTGAAGAGGCATGGAAGTTTCAGGTAAAATATCAAGACGCGAGAAAACCCTCTTGTGTTTGTTGACGTTTTGCTTCTTTCTTCTGTTTCTGTTTTTTAGTTCTGTTCGCTCGGCTGCATGCTCTAAAGTACTGTAGGGGCTCTCTTCCTGTGTCGTTTCTATCCACAAAGGTGGAATCGTAGTTTCAGAAGTCGTACATTCACACATGGCACAGCACGTGTACAGCAGCAGTACCCCGTGCATTGCCCGTCCGCACCATATGCTGCTCAAACGCCTCAAACATCCCACTATACATACACTTCACGCTTTGCCCCCTTGGGAAGCCTAACGTCCAACCCGTTCGCCGTCGTTCTGCCTCTTCCATGGCTCCGTCTCTCTTTTGTGCATGCTCCCGACACGAGCAGGGTGACGGGGGAAACATGGCCGGAATTGTGGGACAAGTACGAGAGGAAAATCCGTTCCGAGGACCCGTCGCTAGAGGGTGAAGATCTCAAGACCGCAATTTGCTTGCGCATCCTGGAGAAGTCGTGTTCCACGAGCGAGATGTTCAACAATCTCTCCGGATGCAGCGACCTCAACTCCTTCTTGCCAGACACGTTAACAGAGACCGCTCCAGCACAGCACCAAGAAGCGTTTGCAGCCGAGAGCGCCGCAGCTTGCGCGGGGGCTCTCCGTTTGATTCCGCTGATGCAACCGTTCAGGCGGGCGAAGATGCAGGGCGAAGGGGCCGTGGTGGTACAAAAGAGGGCTAAGCGGCACACGCGCAGACGAAAAATCCTCGCCGGACGTCGAAGGCGCATTCGCAGCAGTAACCGCCCTCGCACCTTGTAATGCGTACAATTTTTAGCCATATCTGGATAGAGTCACCTGGCCGGAACGTCCCGGTGAGAAGGGTTTGAAAATTGCGCCGCGCGGGGCTTTGAATCAGATTGACTTGTTCCCCCGTTCGATGGCGGACGGGGCCACGGTCAGTCATTGTCTGTAGTTGCTTTCGAAAGGTCCTCTTGTGTAATTATTTGTTCTCTGATTGCTGCTTTGCGCGCCTACATTGCTCACGTGGTGTTGAGACTGCTGCACAGCACAAGAGTCGATAGGAGTCGCCTGTGAGCTTGGAATATTTGATGTATAGAGCTTTTTTTTTGTTTGGCTTGAAACAGATGGAGGAGGTTTCCAAGCCCCCATCTTACAGGAGTTTTATTCCGTGTGATTCGTTTGGTCCACTCGAAGTTGCTTCGTCGCGCGGTGGCTGGGTGGATGGGGGGGTTGGTGCCGTCATGTTGGGGTGCGCTAACAGTAGTGCCCACTCGGAAAGACTTGGTTGATGATCATGATCCAAGATAGATGTTAAAGTTGCCGTTGGTACAGAACAGCACGATATATCAGCGGCTATGAGGAGTGAAGGTGTGTGTGGGTTGTAGCTGGCGTTGATCGCCTGTGTTGTGTGCCGTTCGCGCACCGCGTACAACAGGAGACATTGAATAGATTGTTCCTTCTAGGTTTAAGTGAAAGAAACGATTTGGTCCACCGCTTTTATGTAAATCTGAGAATATCCGTTGTTGTGTGGAAGCAGCGCTGGTGCCGTCCACGCTGAAATAAATAGCTTGGATTGGTTCGACTCAACTGACTTGCAATGTGTTTGGTTGCTGCGGAAAACCAACCTACTACGGGGTGCGGATGTGATGTCATTTGCTACAATTGTGCTGTGGCGGTGCTTCGTATTCTAGGCAAACGGAGTACAGCCATTTTTCGCCCTTGTTGAATTGGTCGGATTTTCTTGGTTGTTGGATATGTATGGTGTTGCCTGAGGCCATGGCTTGTAGGACAGCCACACGCTTATATCCATCGTATTAATATTCCATATTAGTAATGTTCTGTTTGTCTCCCTTGTCTTCTGGGCGGTAGGGCGCTCTGAATCTTGTTTGGTTCATCCTTTTTCTAGATCTCGTGTTTGATTGTTTGCTTGGCAACAGCGGCGGGCGTTAGATGTAAACGTATCACAATGAACGACCCGTCACACGAGGTAGATGCCCTCCTTACACGCCAATCGTGAGTTAGGTGTAGCGAACGGTGGCTTGCTGTTGAAACAATGCCAGGCCTCAATACGTGGCTGTCTTGATTTGTTGGCAAAGGCATTGATTGGTGTTTCATTTTCGGCTTTTGAGAAAAGCAGCTGAGTTCAGGTAGTCCCTTTCTCTGTTGTCGCTCGCCCTAATCGAATTTTATGCTGTGCCTATCGCTCTCGTCCAGCACTCCCCGAAGGCCTGTTGCCACAGAAAGGGTTTGATACGTGAGCCTGCCCTGAGTGTGTGCATGTCCCATTTCTGACACACCAGCCGGGTTCAGCGGAGGAAGGCGACGCAAGAGTGTTTTCCTTCTCCACCCTCCTTCCGTCTGCGGTGCCTGCCTTGATATATCGCGAGCACCGGAATTGTGCGGTAGTGCGCGTCTTGAATCTTTGCCGCGAGAACGGTAAAAAAATTCCCTCTTGAGAGTTTTGTGTGTAGATTTTTGCCCCCTCGAGCATGTCGCTTTCTCCCACAGAGTCGTATCGGCAACCAAGATCTCGACTTCGTAGACGGTGGACTGGGGGCAACCCATGGGATGATATGTAGTTGCCTCAGGCAAAACGCACATGAAACATGATGGAGCTCGAGCCTGTTTTCTCAGAGGTAGGAGGCATACCCCTCGGCGTGCATGTTTTCTCTGTGCTTCTATTCTTCCTCACCATAATTTCTGCCCGCATGCACGAACAATAACAACAACATTGCACGACGTGTTTGTGTCGAACATGCTGCTTAGTTGAGCCTGTCAGAGGTAGATATCAGCACGGCGTACGGTGCTGAGTCTTTATTCGTTGCTGTAAAGACGCACGGGCAGGTGCTCCGATAATTGGAGGAAGGACGACCGCCTCGATGTCATTTCTACGCCGCTTGCATTCTTTTAAAAAACACGTAGCCAGTCAATACATCTGATGGAAGGGTAGTTGTTGTGTGGGACGCGAAACCACCGGGTAGTTGGGTGGTAACCGTGGCAGCGCGTGTGCACACACCTCATTCTCAACCACACGCACACGGGACAATCAACAGATCAACAGTGATCCTGACTGCGGTGAATCAGGCAGACCAAAAGCTCATGCCAGATTCGCTAGTAGACCACACCAGCATCACACGAAAGAAAGAAAACGGAGACAAACAGCACACGACTCAAGTGCAATTTCCAAACTCAGCCACAAAAGAACAATCAAACATACACAAAAATGCACACGTGTGCATGCGCGACTGAAAAGCTACTGACCGACTCGATAGTTCTAGTCCTTGTCGACCAACTTCTTCGAGCTTCACACACGCAACTCAATTTTCAAAACTGCTCATAGCTCCTCCTCACGCAACGGGTCTGCCTCTGCGTCCGCTGCAGTACCCTCTTCTGCCCCCTCCTCCTCGCCCTCTCCTACTACGCCCTCCTCCCCCTTCCCTTCCGGGGATTCTTCACCCCCATCCCCATTTGTCGCCGCCTCCTCTGTGGAGTTGTCAGCTTTCGCTGGCTTCTCCTTCTTTGGGGCGGGCTTCTTGGAGAGCTTGGTGACAAGGTTTTTAAGTGCCTTCAGCGCTGGTTCTACCTCAGCTGACTTGAACACTGGCGTCTCGTGAGGTGGGTGAGCGGCTTGCTCTGCCTCCTTGTCTGACATCCACTTTTCCGCGCTGCGAAGTGAACCAACCAGTTACAGAGGGCGGTGGGATGGGTCGGGGTGACTTAGAAAACGAGACCTGGTGAATCAGTGGGACTACACGAGACCTGCCGTACGCGCTCGACGGGATTACAAGTTTGTTGTGCGGTGTGCAACAGACTTCCCGCAACGGGAATAAACTATTGCTGAACAGGGCACCACGAGCTACTATATTTTAATGTTTTGAAAACAACAAAAGGCAGCCACCTCCCTTCACCTGTCGATTTTCTCCATCACATCCGTCCGCTCCTGCTCTGTAATGTGGGGTTTGGTCTTCTCCCATTTCTCCACAGATTCCCTCACCTGGGAGAGGCAAAACACAGAGAGGTACCCAGTCGATCGGTGTGTAAACAGCGGGAGGACGATTTCTTACCCGGCGTCCTGACTGTTATTCATTTTCAAAAAACAAACAGTGCGAGGAAGCTGCCTGCATACGATTGATTGCTTAGGAGGAAAGCATGCTTAGGAGGAAAGTGCACAGGAAACAGAGGTCAGCCTCAGCCGTGAAACAACCTGGCGAACGTTCAGCATCGGATGCATACCTTTGCCGTGAACTCTCTTCCTCGCGCCAGTTCTGCGGGTCTTGCCACGAGCTCAGAAGATCGCAAGAAGATGGCTTCGGCAAGCTGCGCACAGCCAAACGTGCCAAACGCAAGACTCAGTCAACATCATCGTGCTTATAGGTTAAGAGCCAAACTCATCCGTGCATCACTTCTGGCTCGAGAAAGGGACGTGGCAAAGAGGGTTGATACACTCAAGGCGGCCATGTTCCAGCAAGTCTCTCCCTTCTATATCCTAAAAACCGTCGAAACAATCTCTCCAACAAATCTGCGGAAATATTGCAAAAGCCCTATAATTGCAACGTAGACGGAATCGACACCAACGAACGACCTGGCGACCACGGCCCGCTCCAAATCAATTTTGTCCCCACCCGCCCACCTCTGCCAACTCCCCCCGCTTCTTCCGGTAGGTGGTGGCGTCCATGTCCCAACCGTCGTCGTACAACCAATCCTCCTGTTCCGTGGCCAAAACTATCGCCTCCTCCCTTTGTTGCTCCGTGCTAACGACCTCAAGGTTGGCGTCGAAGTCTCGCAGGGCTGCACGAACCTGTTCCGAAAAAAAAAAAAAGACCATGAAACAAGCAAGAACACACAATTGGAGTCAACACAAAGCAACCGAACAGCAGGGTTCTTGCGTCGAGACAGGATGTTATCTTACGGGGGTGCGTACATCGATGCCACTGCCACAGCTCAACCCTAAGATGAAAGCAGTGATTGATAACTTGTTGAGGTGTTGTTGTTGTCTTCACATCAAGAACCGTTCCGGTCTCCGCTCAGTACCTTCTAATGTCCGTACTGGCCCAACCAACGCGGAAGCCTTCCGTGGTCACAAGCCAACTACCCCAACAAAGGGGATTCCCCATTCTAGAAAAAAAAAAAAAACGGACACACATCATATTTCTACCTGTGCTACGCATACCCCATGTACAAAACCGGTTTTCGTCGCCAGCATAATATCTCGAACTCCTTGTTGAAAGGTGTTCCAACTCCAAATATACTGTACCTGATACTAAATAGATTGATTACCTTGAGGATGTAGGACTCCAAATCGTTCTTCGCATGAGCGGTTTCCCGCCTGACGTCGTCCGCGGCTCTAAGCGCAGACAGCTTGGCCTTGGAGGCCACCGTCCCTTCCTCAGTGAGGGGGTGAATTTGCATGTACTGAAATGAGCCAGGGCAGGAAGGCACAAGAACATGTACAAATAAATCGCCAAGGCGATGCATAGGGGATTCAAGTTTAGAGAGCGAGGATGGGACAGATCAGCAACTATGTTTTACGTTACAGCAGTAGCGGCCCGCTCGTAAAAGAAAATAGAGACAACGTTGCGGGCGGGGGATCAAAACCTCGGTGTGTCGCAATCATCGAGCACAGGCTACTGCCAAGCGATCATGCCGGGTCTACCAGCTGCTAAGCCCAATTCCTTCAGCCAAACCTCATGCAAAAACAACTGAGCCCCAAATAAAAGTCCTTGCATGCTTACGAACGGGCCGCTATTTGCTGTACGCCTTTCGGAAGGTTAAAACCAGGAGTCTCATGGGGATTTCCCACGCGGCCGAAAATGCGACGACGCTATGCAGACGGACAGCCGCGGGAGCCTCGCCTCCAGTACAAAAGCGCTCAGGTTGGTGAAATCATCAGCATCAACTCTCGGAAAATCGAGAAGCCAAGAGCCTGCAGGGTCATCATCCTTTTGAGTGTGTCTTGCGACTACATTCATGCATCACAGCGCTATGGCCCTCCACGTGGCGGCCAAGCAAATGCTCATCAAGCGCGAGAAATTCACTCACCCATGTCCTCACCCACACGTCGTAAGATATGGAAAAAAACTCAACAGGGTACAATGTAGCAAGCAACCCGGGTTCGTTGATGCATCGACTGGCGTCTTCTTTGGCCGAAAGCTGAGGTACCTTCCACGCTGCTGCAACGGAAACCAACGCTCGGGAACAGCCTGAACTTAACACTCATGCCCGCCGCCCAAGATGCCCATGACAACAAAGGTAGCAGCCGCGGCGAATGCTCACCGTGAAGTGGGGCACAACGTCGAGCTTGGCCTTCTTGCGATCGGTCACAATCTTGGTCTTGTTAACCTTGATGGTCTTCTTCTTCTTCTTCTTCTTCTTCGACTTCTCCTTCTTGTCCTTGCCATCCTTAGCATCCCCTGCGTCCCCCTCCCCTTCCGCCTTGTCCTCATTTTCTTCCGTTCCTGTTGCCGGGTCTGCAGCGGTTGCTCCTTCTACCTCGGTGTCGGCGGAATCGGTTGCCGCTGCGTCCGCGCCAGAATCGGCATCAGCGTCGCCTGGGGCGTTTTTCATGGGATGTGGAAATGGGGTGACGCATACGCCAGCAACGTGGGAGTGAACGGCTTCCGGATCAGTACACCGACCATATACAACATACAAATCGAACACCTATGATCGCGTTTCGTGGTATCACTGATTATCGGAAGGGTCGATCCAGCTACGGCATTCCCCTTCAAGCACGATCAAAATATGACACGACACGAAATCTCCTTTTACTGTGTCAAACAACGGTACGTGTGATATACTCTATTATGTCGCCCTCAATGCGTACGAACAACAACACACACCAGCCAGTGTCGAGGGCAAAAACAAACACCTGATGCTAGCCTCCAAAAACTAGACCCAATGCACACTGGTACAATAAGCCGGCGACCGAAGAAGACGAGCAAAAAAAAAATGAATGCATGACACCTTCGTTCTTGCTGTCGTCCCCCTGCTCGGCGACAGGCACTGCCGTTTCGCCGTCCCCTCCCTCTTTCTCCGTCTCCGTGTCCTCCTCGTCATCAACTACCACGTCTTCGGTGTAAGTCACCTGGTGGGCAAACAATCACGAACATCAATACACGCTCCGGCATATGATTTCCATAGCATCGATGATTGGAGTACGGGTAATGCATGCGTCTGTGGATTGGTCGAGTCGGCCATGAATTGACCTCCTCTTTTTCCCTTTCTTCATTTGTTCGAATGGGAACTGTTTCTATACCGGAACAGTTCCCGGAGCCCCTCTGAACCACCTGACTCACAACTTTCGATTCGACAGATTCAACTCTTGTCAAGTTCCACGTAACACAAGTGACCCTCCTCCCTCCTCCCAACCCTCCACCATAGAGATGACTGGTATTTTTGTGTGAGTGGACGAGGTGCGGCAGTCAGCAGCAGCGGCACCAACTGCGTTTGACCGAGAGAGTTGCTGTTCACCCTAAATCTACGAAACACCCGGCAAGAATCCTGCTCACGTTCTTCTCGAATTCAACGAAGGCTTCTGCGGATGCCAGCTCGGGGACGCCAGCGGTACCAGAGGTGAACCGCAGCGCAACCTTGGGTGCTCCGCGTCCTGCGAAACGAGGTTAGGTTAGCACGATAACGACAGCCAGAAGCACGTGAACCAGCATCACTTCGGGAAGTACTCTGTGGCGGGATACCTATGTGCGCAAAAGTTGAGCCCAATGGCTATTGCAGTACGCTACAGTAAACCAAACATGTACCGCATTGGTGGGCATCTGCCTAGCACATCTTAACGCCCCTTCGGTTAGACCGGTCGGGGCCAGTTTTAATTAATCAGGCCAAGATTTGGACGTACTGCTGTCCAACTCGACAAGGCAGCAGCAGCTGGCGCGCCAACAAAATAAACTCACCCTCTTCCTCCATCTTCTTGGCGAAGTCTGCAACACCCGTGACCTGGTACGAGGCGATCATTTCCTGAGTTCCTTCGGGCAGTTGTGTGTTGCCTCCGTCTGCCGGTGCAGCGTACGTTACGTTAACCTGGTGTTCATCAGTTAACATGCACGGACATCGGGGGGGGGGGAGTCAAAAAGAAGCTTCTCGTTTCGAGGAGAGTTTCATTTGGTTCAATTGATATCAAGCACACACGGCATCAACGCAAGTGGATTGAGTGGATTGAGTGGATCTAGCCAACGCGACGAGAACAATGTCGATGGTCGATCTTGCTTTGATCTTCCTTCAGCAGTCCCGAGACTTTCGACAAAAGAGAGAAAAGGGGTCAGAGTCAGACCTCATAGCAAAGCTATCACCGCACCAAGCCAACAACCAAGCGGTTTCAACATTTTCACGAAGGCCGCAAAGTCAGTCTGCGGCGCTCTCTGTCTCGACTCGACCACCACCACGCACGACCGGCCGGGCCGTTCGTAAAGTGTGGCACGTTAACCCCTGGCTCGCTTGCTACGGGTGTTCTCTCTCGTCTTTTCACGCTCGCCCACCTCGAAATTTTCGGAGCGAGTAATGCTTAGCGTCTTCTTGAGAGGAAGAGGCGTGTTCTCGCCGTACAGCGGCACTTCCTTGAAAACCTCCCCCGCAGTCTTGAGCGTAGGTGCGGCGTCCTTCCCGTCCTTCTTGCCCCCTCCGAACAGCCCTCCCAAGACGCCCTTGAAGCCCTTCGACTCATCCAAGTCAGCAAAGCTCAAGTCTACAGCCCAGGGAGTTACGTCCGTCATCCCAACCTGTTCAAGTATGTAAGTATTGAGGTTGCAGGTTTCCGCGAGGGTTGCGAGAGGTCACCGTCGAAGAGCGAGGAGCGGATATTGAGAGGGTCACGGACGAAAGCACCACGCACCATGTGCTGATCCCATAGCCTGGGTATCACCTAGCCTAACCTATGCATAGTCACATTGACACGAGAAACTGCAGCTAGATGCATGCCGTCTCTACCGCAGGCGCTCGAACGCCATCCGCGATAAAGCTTGCTCGCAGCCTGATTATGAGGGTCGACTTGCAATACTTACTCTAGGACTGGCTTACCTTGCGAACGTCGAAAGCACGACTCTGGTTGGCGCCGCGGAATGCAGCACCCAGGCTATTATCCTCAGTACGCATTGGCATGGGCAAGGGACCATGTTCGTTGTTTGCCGAGCAATCACGGCGAGCGAAAATATCATGCCATGTCCAAAGGAGCACAGCGGGGGGAGGGAAGGGAGGGCATTGAATCCGATGGAATCACGAACGCTTGGCCAAAAATATCGTGTAGCTATCTGGCTGCATGGCCGCAGTCTTAGTAATATGCCATGCTAAAGATGCACGCATCGTGAGGATGGTCATAGGAACATAGAAAATCGGGACAAGGGGCGAATGGCAAGTCCGGAAGGAAAGAGCAGTTTCTTCATTCTCACCAGGGGGATTCGTCGCCGTTGAGGTGGGCTCCAAGCGCAAGCGGCTGGTCGACTCCGATCGACAAATATCTCGACAGCGTTTCTCGCACCTAGATCAACAGGCGAACAACAGGTAAATTTGTAAATGTAGCAGCAATGGATGACCGAGTCAGCCCTGACCGAACCGAATCCACCGAGGGAGAACGATATCCGTCAAGCCAACACCTACTGCCGCTGTACAGTAGATACATAAATTACTTTGAAGTAACGTCGTTGATTGACATTTTCACATCTTCGAGTCTCCGCACCCGGCGAGACCATACGCCTCGCGTCGAGGGATAACGCACAACAGGATTCATTCGTCGAAGCACACCTACCTTGGGGATCCGCGAACCGCCGCCGATGATCTCCACCTCTTGGATGTCGCTCAGCTTCATGCCCGCTTGCTCGAGAGCTCGATCGATAGGTCCGGTGACCCTCTCGAACAGGTCCTTGCTGGCGGCCTCGAAGGACGTTCTCGTCACGGTCGAAGAGTAGTCCACGTCATCGTGGAGGGAGTTGAGGTTCACGGGGATCTCGGCGTTGGCCGAAAGGACCTTCTTGACTTTCGTGGCCTGGGTGATCATCTTGCCCATCGGTCGGGGGAACTCCCGGACGTCGCCCTTGCCCCACTGCGACCGTGAAACATTGACAGGATCAGTCGATCGATCTCAACAACGAATTGAACAGCACAGCAGAGTGTGAGAAAAGGAGACGGAGAAAGCGGGAAAATAAAGGACAACGACGTCACCGCTCCGTGGTGCCTACTTATCCCGTCAACCTCCGATGGTAAGACTGTATTTCCAAAAACCTGACTAAAAAATTTAGTTACCTTCGCGTTGAAACCCTCGGCAAACACATCGGTAAGCTTGAGGTCGAACCACCACCCCCCGACGGTAGCGTCCCAGCCCTTTCCTCTCACTATCAGCTTGCCCACGTTCCTGTCCTTGATCTTCTTGGGCCCAAAGGTGACAATCGTGACCTGGATGGAGTTGGCACCCATGTTGTAGAACATCACGTTGGTGTCCTCCTCGTACGTCTGTGAAATGGCGTGCTGCAGAGCTGCCGCGGTGTTCTCATCCATGAGCGACAGCACCGTAAGGCCGGCCACATCCGCGGCGTCCAAGAGAGCGCGGCGTTCGTGCGCCGTGGCGAACTCCGGCACCGTGATGACCGCGTCTTTCACGCTGTAGCCAAACATGCCAGTCATTTCCTGAAATAGAGTACAATAGTAAAATCGGTTTGAGTTGGTTTCATTCGTTGGGTTCAGCGCGCTCACTGTGCGAGTGAGCCGGCGGGTGGGGGATGGTAGTAGCGGAACACGAAGTGCAACGTCGTTGTGAGTGGAAAACACGGCATTCTTGTGATCACATCCTCAGGCGTTCTCGGTCGGACGTGCGGCCAAAATTTTACTGCAAATTCGTCGCGCCGTGGGCACGTTGCAACTAGTTCACAAGCTTGCACATTTGTAGGCACAACGACTGGACGCAAGTGCGTCGCCCGCACCGTACACGCACCCCCCCAACCTCATTGGGGCCATACATAAGAGATAGCCGTTAACGACTTTCCTAAGGAACGATGTTGTTGTCGGAAACAGACTGCACAACGTTCGCCCAAGAGCTCACCTGTGCACTGCTAAGGATCATAGCTACGAGCTCCACGGCACTGTATTCAGCTTCCGCCCCATTGTCGTTAAGGCTGAGCACCACTCCTCCCTCGTCTGCCTTGAAGCTCACGTCATTAGGCAGCCTCGACAAGATGGGCGCGAGGGATGGGTGTTCCAGATCTCGTCCTACACGTATTGGCCATCGCGGCAAGCCATGCAAAGCGAAGAGGTTTAAAGCTACAGTCAGACAGCTCATTGTTTCGAGGGAAATAATGTGGGAAATGGGACTGAGGGTGGGGACAGTTCTTTGGTGTACCTCGTCAAGAGCTTCGTCTAATGCCCCAGCGCCTTGTTTCGTACTGGGAAGCGTAAAAACGAATCTCTACCTACCGCCGTGCTGCAATTACAAGCGCAAGCAATAGCGCATCGTGCTCTAGTAGCCTCGATGCCTGACGCGTGAGACCGGCAGGGTCAGCACGCGACAACGGTGCACCAAGACACAGGCGAATTATTACGTTCAACAACACCGCCCAACCCTCTCGACGTACAGCAAAGCTCGTTCGAGCCTCTCACCGAGCATAGTGGTCATCTTGGTATACGTCTGCTTGGGCTTGCGGGACACGAGAGCATACGCGTCGGAGCCGAAGTTTCTCTCCCCGCGGTCGAAGTTGACGGCCATCTCTGTCTTACGTTTGGAGGCCGCGTTAGTCACGATCTCCAATGGTTTCCCTCGTGCCACCAGGGCGACCTGCGCGTGAGCAAAAAAAAAGGGCCATTGACACCACCACAGCAGTCGAACTGGTAAAGTGGTTCGGCCATTGCTGTCCCGTCTGTGGACATGAGGCCAAGTTACAGCAGTAGCATTGACTTCGAGAGAGTACATAGCGCGACGACGAACGGCCAATCCGGGTAGAGTAGAGAAAGAGACGAATAAAAAAATCTGTTGAGGCGTTGTTTCGCTCGCTGGGGACAATTATTCCACACCAATGGTTGGTTCGTGCTGTAGCATCGCTGGGTAGTCCCTGTGTGAACGTTCGATGCAACGGCAGTCTTCTGAGTACTGAAGTATTCGTACTATTTAGTAGTGCCATCTGATAGCAGAACGAGATGGGGGACGACAAACGCTTGATCACTGCTGTATCATTCACGCGTTTCTGGCCGTTGCAACCTGCGCGATGATTGTGCTGCTAGAAAATGGAGCTTTGGTGTGTTTTCGACACACTTTGGGACTACTTGACCACCTGGGGTCAGTACTTGTTACTTGAAGAATAATGTGAGTGATTCTTAACTCCAATGAAAACCAAGTGCTCCGAGCTCGAAAAAGTCAGTTGTCTTGTGCGTTAGGGATGACCCTACGTAGGCTCTTGCATACACACGGTTAGTTCACATGGCGATACTTGATTCGAGACTTTGTCCAGTACAGGACAGGACGTGGGACGAACACGACAATCTTCCATCCTGGTTTCTCCGCTGAACACTGACCCTCTGCTGGCGGCTGCTGCTGCTGCTGCTGCCGCCGGGAATGGAATCTCGAGTGTACCACCTCAAAGGTAATAGAAACCACACCACTACCGTTGCATCGCTTCAGATGGTTGACAATCTTGCACCAGGTGAACCTCTACGCCGAGAAAGAAGAAGTCGGCAGAGATCTTATGTTTCTGGTCTGGGTTTATCCGTGTATGATACTATTGTACGGAAGATACCATACGGTGTACCCGTCGGGTGACGGGTACCCCGGAAGATGCAGTGCACGGTCTGGACCACGTCTGCTGGGGGGGCGATGGCCTTGATGAAGAGGGGATACAGCTGGGCCATGGCGCAAAGGACTCCTAGTCGCTGTGTGGTTGACTGGGCTCGAACACTCGAGCAGCTAGACGCGCCACGTACACGAGGGTGAACACACCCTACGAGCATCACCCGTTATGTGCAGTTACTCTTGACACCCTGGTAGCAAATGGCAAATGGACAATTAGCGGTGGTGCGCCGGGGAACCGCAGCCGGCTAGAGAAAACTTAACCGGTGTATACGAACGGCATGCACATGCCTCCCTATATACACCGTAGATGTGAGGTTCGTGTTGCCACTTGGCACGCTGTTCGATCGAGTGTCCGGTGCGCCAAGTGTGCGACTGACGACGCCGGAGTCCCGGCGGCGGCGCAAATTCTCCATGATATCCACCGTCCTCCCATCGGACGCACCAGATCATCACTGCACAGCTCTATCGCCATCGCACGCAATCGCACATGCATAAGCATAGGTCCATCTGATACTTCTACCCGCCGTACCTTCATGAAGTCCACCCCAAGGTCGATGCCGATGACATTCGCAAAGGCTGATGGTGTCAAGGCTACCAGAAGCGCCGCATAGCCAGCGGCCAGCGACACTCCCAGGCCTCCGAGGCCTCGGATATACATCTGGCAAGAGCTGAGCTGTAGCAGTCAGTGTCCAGACAACTCTCCAATTCTCTCGCGCACTTGGTCTCTCCACGCTCCTTGGCTCTCCACCGGTTGCGTTGGGTGTGTGTGTGCTGGAGCGATGAGCGGATGTGTATGCTCTCTCCGGACCACATGGGCCAATCCCCTTCGGTTGCAATCACGGAGCCCCCCCGTCGTGTTTCCCGATCTCGTTGCTTGCAGTACAACGATCGGACCAATACACACATACAGCATGGTTCGTTGGAGATCGACCGCGCTGATACTGGGGCTGGTAACTCATGGGTGCGTTTCCTTCGTACCCGCGTTCTTCGGGGGTATTGCACGCACACCCAGGACTGCTTCTTCTATCAACCGAGCATCTTTCTCACATGGGAGCGGCGGAATAAGCCCTTCATGTAATGTTTCCAGCCGCCAAGCCAACCTTCATTGTCGTGCAAGCTCTGCCGGTCCCCTGATGATGGCCAAAGGGAAGAAGAAAGGAAAGGGAAAGGCTGGCCGTCTCGAGCTCATCGAGAGGTGCGCGACAGGGAAGAGGAGGAATTGTTCGCGTCTGGAAATCCGACCTGGTTCCAAACATACATCGACTTCAAGTGTCCACAGCCAACACATTACACATGAAGATCAAATGCAATAGTTTGTTGCGCGCAACACACAAATACTACAACCGTTCTGCGTATCACACACTGCTGCCATATCGAATAATATACGGACTGGCCATGCACAGGAGGGTTGCAATCATGTGAGACAAGAGGTCTATGGGAACAAGAACACGTGTTGTTCCAAGTTGTTCATTTTTTTTTGGACAAAATACGCGATGATGGTGGACATGGTGTTGCTGCGTTGTTGCTCGGCCGCGCCAGAGGCAGGTGCACATCTTTGTGACTGCTGTGTCCTCCCTGCAAGTGTATTGTTATGGATATCAAGGATAGTATCCACCTGTCCTGAAACCGATTCTTTCAAGAAAAGCTCGGGGTTCGTATCGGATGGGTACTGCTGTGGGGACCCAGCCTTCCACGTCTATCTACATACAAGTACAATCTCTCACGGAAAACCACCGAACACTATGTTGAGGGGAGGGGGCACAGGGCACACGAATGCACGGTAGGAAAAGATCTGGGTTTTTCTAGCTATTCGCAGGTCGTTCGGAGACTGAGGTTATATGGAGGATGCTTTCTTGCTGGATTTATATGTCAGTGAAAATCCCCACCGTGTTGTTACCGCGAAAATGGACCCGAGCCTGGTCCGGTGAGAACCCGGCGTCCTCCGTCCCGGCTTTGTAGGGATGCGAGGTCAATGGTCTAACGACTACGGCATGGACGACCATGAGTACCCCCCCCCCCCCCCCCCTCCTCTCAACCGAGGCTTGGCGCGGTTTGTTTGATGGTAATGCTGATGTACTCTACTTCGTACGTCGTGGGCCTCTGGGGGGCTAGACCCTGAAGAAGGCGGTTTGGCGACACAGCTATTCCTCCAGGATTCCACCCCCTATCTTCATGTATCGAGCCTTCCCAGCCTAAACGCGCAACAGAGCCACATCAATCAATGTCTCAGCAATTCGACCGTATCACAGTTTGACACGAGTCCCCTAAACCCAGTTTTGCTGTGGGTACTTTCAAGCGATGTGGGCAACACCGATCACAGCCCTGCGTATGGTATTCAGAAAGCTCAGTGAATCCTCCCATGATCCATTCCCTCTCTCTCCAAAACAGCGTCGCTGCTGCCACGGAGAAGGGAGATGCGGATTCGCAGGCAGATGAAGAAGACGATGAGATAGCGACGCCGGCGTTTAACATTGACAAGCTCAAGGCGGAGACAAAAACTCCGTTCCGCACGGTAAGTGCTGCCGTCGTCTCGGCCAATCTTTCCCGGGTCTGCGGCGAAGGCCACTCATCCGCCGATCTCCCCGTCTTGGCAAGGCTGCAAAACCCAACCACGCTACAGCGAGGTTGGATCAGCGTGGTTGGGGTGTAATACTGTTCCGCTGCCCACGCGGTATCTAAAGCTTTTAGATGACACCAAGAGGTTCGCGCTCACTGGTGCCACTTGGTCTCACGCAACAGGCTAAGCATGTGAAAACATGTTGCTTCTGTACCTCTCCGTTCCGCATTTCCCTGTGGACTTGTTTGCATGATTCGCTCTGTTCTCCGCTGCCCCTTCTGTTCCGCACTGCTCTGCCCACTTACACCATCAGGCCATCAGCGTTCGCACAAAAAATTATCCCCTCACCTTGGCGCTTACTGATGTGGTGATCCTCTTGCTATCGTGTTTTTGGAGGTGCTGCGCGTCTAAGCTAGTCCCTACCTTCTTGTGTAAATTAGTTTACAGCCATTAATTTGTGCGGTGTATCCTGATTCGCTCGCACGGCGGCTACGCGCTGATGTTTTCTCATCCCTATAAAACAGTTTCGGATCTTCATCTACGGGGCTTTTGGTCTGTCTGCTCTGATCGGCGGAATAACTTCGCTCACCCAACTGGCCGCAAGTGAGTCGATGTGTGATAGGCTAGACAAGGGGGTGAACTGCTATTGACCATCCCTGGATATTTATTGCGCTGCTCGAGCAGAGTCAATGGTGGAAGGCCAAAGCTGTCAAAACTTTGTGTCATTTATTTCGGCTATGTGCCGTTGTTGGTGGTGCCGCTGCAAAGTTCTTGCTTACTGTTGAAAGCCGCAGTGTATTAGCCGAACAAAACTTCGTACGGGTTATATTGTCCTGTACACTTGTTTCGTAGTCCGGCCGTGCCTTAGCGGTAGCCTCTGACCACTCAGATTTCATCTACCCACCATCCTGCTCTTTTGGTCGTGACTGGGGATTCGAGCTAACTGTATTTCAATATTTTCCTTCCTTCCAGCACTCTCTGACCAGCCGGGAGCCCTGGAGCTTCAGAAGGTGCTGATCAACCTCCTGGTGGACTTCGGGGTTATGGCCGCGGCTGCATTCTGCTACAATTTCGAAACGTGAGACGTGTCTTTCCTCGTCGCTTGATACTTGGCATCTACTGTTGAAGGCCGTCGTAACGGTAGATGCCGTACGTATAGTTCGCGTCTATTCTACGTTTGGGTCGGTTTCATGACGGGTGGTTGGCATGTATGATAGCCTACTGGAGTACTCAGCAACCACCAAGAACCCAGAAAATGACAACTCCGGAATAGCAAATATTTACCGTGCAGAAGAAGAGAGAGTGGAGACCAACTCATTCGCGGTTCCTCCAGTAGGTTTGGTAGAGTTCGCCGTTGGAAGGGGGCAGAGCTGCTGCCACACCATGGGATAGCCCGGCGTAACCTCACCCAGAAATGAAGCCCTTCACATATTTGGTACAATTGTGTATTGGGCGTCAATGTTCGGGTTTGTGAGTCGATGTTCTACTCTAGCCGGTCATCAGTCAGTTGGCCTGGAAGCACTGATAAGCTTGCTTACGCATGCATGCATGGGCATTTGCGGGACGGCCGCTTTTGGAGGCAGGTCACAGCAGGAAGACCTGGAGCAAGTGGAAGCGGCCAACCGGGAGAAGCGGCAGAAACTAAAGGCCACCAAGATAACCGGTGACGTCAACGCCGACAGAGTGAAACAGCTGCGGGCCCTTAGTGTCAAGGTTCCTGGTAGCGGAAGTGGTGCTGAACTCGAAGGAGCGAAAGAGGTGCGCGAGTTCGTGTATACATATCTGGGGGTAGGTATTGGACGAGCCAGGCTGCCAGGCCCTCCAAGGCCTGATTGATGTATGAGCCTGCGATACGGGCCAGTACTTCATTGTGGATGGGGTGTGCATCTAAAACCCGGTCGAACGCGCGAGCGAGGCGATGTGGGACAGAGGATCACAGACCAGACTATTTGTCTTGTCTTCTTGCTTTCGAGGCGTGATCAATCGGGGATACCCCTTTTAATGTCCAGACAATTTTTTTCAATTTTTTTAGTCAACCTCCCCGTCTTCAATAGCGCTGTCACGGCCACTCTCAGTTGTTCCATATCTACTCCTCGATGTAACTGAAACACATGCATACACCAACAGGCGCCAGTGGGCGTTCTCATGGACGAGGCGAAGCAAGCATTTTGCGTGTTAGCCGGAGGAAAAGAGTTCGTCCGCGACAGCATCGTGGCCGCGATGCTCGCCAAGAACCAGATTTTCCCCAGCCTCAACCTGTTGGTGGTGCCGGTCGAGATGGAAGTGGCTAACGATGGCAAGGGGGCCAAAGGGCTGGCGAAGGGTTTCGGAACTTCGCTGTCTTACGAGGAGCAAGGTTACGTGGCCGCTCCTGTCGACGTGAGTGTTCGTAAGGAATCAGTTTGCTGCGGATCTGAGCAGAGGACAACGGTAACTGGCCGCAGTGTTGCTTGGGACGAATGGCACGTATCCATGCCATCTCCATCCCCCCTGTGCGCGTTGCTCTGCTGCCGAAGCAGTCTCGCTAGCAGGCAATAATTCTCCGCTGTCGTGTACACAGTGAGCAACTGTTGTCTACTCCGACAACCCGCCGGTTCACCGTTTCTTTTGAGGTAGAGGCTCGATATTCGATCTCGATTCTCTCAAGGTGTCAGGCTCAGCCTGAATTCTTCATTCGATATCGACACCCCTGCGCGGACTGGAATGCCTAGTATGGAATGATGCTTGGAAGGACGAGTTTGAGTTCGCGCAGCTCGTTGCGGAGACCCTCGCCTCGTGATGAACACGATTCCTGCCTGATGCGTGCCCTTCCGCTCCTGGTGGCGCGCGCATACAGGAAGATGGATGGCGCGCACTCATGGAAGAGGAGTTCGAGGCTGCAGAGAGACAAGGCGTCGTGGCAAAGTCCTCGGGGAAGGACGGGATTGTGTTGCTAGTGAGCAAGAAGGGGAAGGTGCTGAGGCGGGGGGTGGGCATCCCCATGTGGAACATTATTAGAGACGATGTCGACCCGCCTCCGGACAAGAAAAAAGGCAAGAAGTAAAGATATCGATTCGACATCATCGTGTCTAGTTCGCTCACGTCGGCACGTGTTCATAGAGCAGGGTACCTTGATTGGATCTGGTGTATGGTTGATGGCGGTGGCTCGACCTTTGCCCAGACGTGTGCTATTCGCCTCTTTGTCGTCGTGCTTCCAACAGCATCGCCATCTACGGTATCTGCCTCCCGGTAAGTGTGGTCGTTGCCTGTGTGTGAACTGGAGATAAACCCGGGGTGCGGCGCCGGGAACCGTACCGTACAGTAAATACAGATACAGGGGGTAATAAAGAGCAACGTAAATACGTTCGCCTATCTGGAGCAGCAGTGACGGGAGCACTGGGTACCCGGCGGCAGCCAGCAAACCTATGCCTGTGGGCACATGGCGCGGCTCAAGTGTCCATGTTTGAACTTGGTTCGTCACCTTGTGGAATATTGTAAGTGGCGACTGTCCGTTGACACTTTGCAGAGGCTCACAAAGCACTTGTTTTGCAGAGCCAAGGATGTTTTGAAGTGGTGCTTACATAGCCAAGAAAGGTAGTTGGGAGAGTCGAAGGACTCGAGCCCGACACTCTGTAGAAAGGAGGTCTTTAGAAAACCGACGAGTGTGAACGAGAGAGAGAGAGAGAGAGAGAGAGAGAGAGAGAGAGAGAGAGAGAGAGAGAGAGAGAGAGAGAGAGAGAGAGAGAGAGAGAGAGACACAGAGAGAGAGAGAGAGAGAATGATCAGATCGGGTCGAGCCATCCTCCTCGCACTCAGGAAGAAGCGATCTTGGACTAAAATACGTTACGGATAGACCGATTGATGCTGTCGCTACACCGAAACACGCATGGGGCTCATGCCCTACATTCAAGTGTATGCCAATGAACCTGCACAAGGAACGTCCAACAGAGTCGAGCTATGTATGAGTGTGGCGAAGCATCTCTTGTGGTTGGTGTTACAGACATTTATTTCATGGTTTCGTGTGTACGTTAATATAGTTTTATGTGCGGAGGGAATAAGTTCGCCCTTGGGAAATTCGCCTCTCATAGAACCATTTAGTCGGAGGTGCGCGGGTAGTGACAAAAGAAACCCTGTGCTCAAGACGCCGCACTTGGATCCTCCTCAAATTGAAAAAACATTTTGGTTGGCATGATGCTCTTGTCCCACAATTGGATGACTAAAGCGGGGCAAACCAACACCCATGCCACCCCACATACCTCTTCATAATTCTTTTGCAAGTCCGGCAGGCAATCAACACGTTTTCAATTCAAGGGTTAAATATGCGTCTTGTAAATATTCATATAAATAACACACGACCCTGTTGGGCTGAAAATACACCGACAAATTCACAAATTGCAAGGTGACATATTGCCACCAGTTGCACCCTTACAATGCCCCCCACCCATCCAACCCCCTCCGAAACACCAGCGGTCCAGCATTCCCGGCTCAATTCACAGCTGAGTTGCCTCCTCTAGGCGAAAACAGCACTTAAACACTTAAAACACTTTGAAACAAAGAAGACACAAAATCTGGCAAAAGTAAACTTCGGCATGAGACAGCATACATGGAACAAACACCGGGGAAGCGAGATACTGGTTATGCTCTACCCGGGAGAACCTCGCGCGGGCTGTGTGAGCTGCGGCGATGCCGACAGCCCAGCCAACCTACTCTCTAAAATACCAGATGACCGCCTCAAATCCGACTCCGGCAAAGCACTTCCAGGAGAGCCCTTGCTTGGACTGTTTGCACTGGCACACGGGGAGCTTTTGGGCGTGTTGTCTCGGCTCAGACTCGACCGACTGCTGTCTAGCTGCGACCGCATGTAGCTGAGGGTACGGGGGGAAAGCAGGGTGGGAAGGGATGGGTGGGGTTGTGATAGGCGGCGTTCTTTTTGTCCGCCGACGATCTTGATAGAGTAATTACAAGTACTGGTCGCGGAGCGTTCTCCGTAAGGCGTCACTTTCTCCAAATTGAAGGTGAAACTTGCTTCAACTCTGTCGGTGAGATTCGGCGTATCTGATTGGAGTTTTTGAAAGCAAGACCCGCGTGGGAGGGCACAGATGATCGTACCGTAGTGATACGCGTCCCTACTCACACCGCAAACAAAACTTGAACTCCTGCTTGCTGACATGAATCAAGATGGAGAGGAGCAGAGCTTTCTGCAAGGATGAGGAAACAAGCAAGAGGAGTAAAACAAAGACAGGAAACCAGCTACTCTGTACGGGGGCTCGGCGAAACACGGGACTGACCTGCATTAACTATACCGTTAATCGGCTTTACAACGCGAGGCCTGGACGCTTCTTCTCTCGCGGCGTAAAAACTTCTTCTCTTCATGCGAAACGAAAACGTCATTCCACTGCGTGTCCCCGTCGCTGCAACAGCAAGATCATGTCTATCATGACGCAATAGTAAACCCCGCACCTCGCCGAGCACACTCGATGTTGAACAAACCACCCAACACCTCACACCAGCGAGAACACTTGGACGTTGACATACAACTTGCATACACCAACGCGGCACCTCGTGTTTTTGATGAGCGCCTTGTCCAGGCGGATCAATGGCGGACCCGTCGGGGACTTCAGACCTGCCGCCTCCGGCTTCTCCCACGACCAGTTTCCGAGCTCAACTCTTCCTCGGTTGCAAGCAAGCGACGCACATACGCAACGACAACATGAAAAAGGGCGGCTATCGCCAATCGGCCTACTCTTTGCCGCGATACGAGTAGACCGGTTGACACGCGAAGTGAGAGTGCGGACAACAAGATTGTTGTGTGCCCCTCAAGATCAAGCATAAGCTTGGGGAACGCGATGCTTTGCACGCGGAAAAGATAGTGCTCTCTCTCTCTCCACACGGCCTGCCGCTGATGAATATGATTATCAACAGACATCCGAGACAAACTGAATCGTACACAGCAGTACTTTCCCTGTCCAGGCCCGCTCACGGCATTTACGCGCGTCTCACCCGCATCCCGAGCTCGGACAGCAGATGTGGCCGGTCGGTGCTACCATGATATCCCCCATCCAGTCCAACAGATCGACGTGTAGCCATCGACCCCCTGGCCGCGAGGTGGGCCGTTCATTTTGGCTCTCCGTGTCCGGGAAGCTAGGCGGCCCGGTCGTCGCCAGTGTTCGAGATTCCATCTGGTTCATCTGTGTGCATGCGTGCGAACCGAGTTAGCGTGCCGTTACCTTGATGTAATCCCGACCGTTCCCGCAAGATTGCTCACGCCAGCACCCAAACCTTTGAGACTGATAGCTCGTCTACGAGCCTTAGCCGAGATCTAGAAAACAAGAACGAGCCTCACCCGCATCAAGAACTGCCGCTTCTCAGCCGACTGCGGCCTGCTTAGGCTATTCGAAAATGAGCCGTCCGACGCGCATGGACTGGTGCTCCCGCACGAAGCCGGCGTCCTGGGGGATCGTGGGGTCATCAAGGGGCTCACGCTCTCCATCCCAGAGCCCGCGGACAGGGGCACTTTTGACGACAGCATCAAATTAAACTCTCCGGACTGGAGGGTCGCGTTCGTAGGTGTCCCAGTCGCCCGGCGTAATCTCCGGCACCCCGCGCTCCCTCCCCCGCTTCCCACCGCACCTTCCCAACCTGGGTACGACATGCCGCCTCCGCCGCTGCCTACGCTAATGACACCGCTCCCACCGCTGCCGCTAGCGGTGTAAATCGCATCCACGGCCACGGGATATGCCTCCGCAAGCGTTCCCTCCCCCTCCCGCTCAAACGGATCGACGTTGCTCGAATCGTCCTCACTTTCGAAGGCAAACACCGGGCTGTTTCGCTGGCCATCTCCGCACCGGCTGTCTCCTGCACACCCTCCACCGCCACCGCCACCGGTCGCCGTCCCACTGCTGCACCGCCCCGCCGCCCAAGGTCTTAACCTACTTGGGGAAGGCGTGAACCCTAACGGGGACTGCAACCGTATTGCCTCGGCTACTGCAGTCCCTCCTCCGCCCCCTGCCCCGCCCCCTCCGACCGTCACCGTTGCCCCCTGCAACGGAGGACCTGCTCCCGCCGTTGTTGCCTGAACCCCGGCAAGAAACCCTTCCGGCACCCACCGATTGTGCATGGGGGGGCGGTCTGGGCCAAGCTCTGTGGTTATGACTCGCAACGGTGGTGGGGGTCGTCGAGCGGCGGCCGATCGCCTCGTTGTCGGAGACCCAGAAGAAACCGAAACCGTCGTCGTCGTCGCTACCGCCACCCTAGACTGGCCCCTCCGCTCCGACAGCGGGCTAGGTGACCGTCTATCTCCGCGCCCGCGGGTGACTACTGTGTCCGTGCCACCGCTGCAGCTGCTGCTACCACCGCTGGCGCTGGCACTCCCGCTGCAGGGTGGAGATTGTTGTTGTGATGCCGCCATGGAGCTCGTGATCGTTGCCGTGGAGTTCGAGGTAACCAGGGAGAGGGGCGAAGCACCGGCATCCGGTGCGTATTGATCCGCCTGGTTCCGCGGGGAGCTGCGAGCGAGGACAGCCTGCAGACTTGGTAGGTCGATGTTGGGCTGCATTTTGTGCAAGGTCGGAGAATACGAGACGACAATGCGTTGTTGGTCGGCAAGGGATTTGGGCGTATGCGCCGCCTACTAGCGATTCGCTACACACACGATCATTCGCCCGCACCTACGAGCAGCGTACCCCCACAAACACCTTCCCACACACGTTTGAAGTCCGCGCCAGCAGCAAGCAAGAGGGAAAACATTGAGGACCTGGGGCAGGTACCTTGATGATATGTCCGCCGGTGAGAAGAAAGGCACCACAGCCGCGACATGCGTAGACACGTTCCAAACTCTTGAGTGGAGGGATGACTTGAACAGACGCAGACCCCGGCCTGCATAAACGGAATCTTATGGGTCGTGGCTGAGCCATCGTTGGTCCGAACGTCAAACAGCAAAGGCAGCAAAGGTCCAAGTCGGTGGAAAGCCGGGGGAGGGACGTAGGGGGTCGAGGGGTTCGGGAAGGTCCTGGTCCGTTGATGACTCAGTCTGCCACCATTCACCACGCATCTCAATTCCAACAGAGCACCACTCCTGCGCCTAAATATCGCCTTCATCTGCCGAGCCATCTCCAGTTTATGTAGTTGCGCGGGTCTCATTGTGAATCTCAGGGACGACGCCATCTTTGCCCCCGTCCAAAAACGTAAGCGCAGCCTTGCGACAATCAGATAGCACGGCAAAATCGGGCAAGACTGCGAGCATGCAAGCAGACACAGCAACATATATTCTATCTCCCCCACCCCCCCCCTCCCCTCTCCCGGTAGCAATGATACTCCAGAACATACATACATCTTTCGGTAAAAACTGCGTTTGCTCCTCGCGGGACTTCCCCGCCCCCGCCGCCCCCGCCGCCGCCACCGCTGCTGCCGCTGCCGCTGCTGCAGCTGCCGCTACCACCGCAGTGGTGACAGCCGCACTCCCGTTCCCGCTCCCGCTCCATCTCCTTTGCTGCCGGTACGATATCGCCGGGTTTATCCCGGCGGGCGACCGCCCTCTTCCGCGCGGAGACCTCGGGGTAGGGGGTATTCCCGCTGTGGACACTGACCCCGCCGCAGCCGCCGCCCCTGTTGCACCTAGCTGGTGTTGAGCAGACGGCCTTGTTGGCGATGTCCTGGTGTGCTCTGCTGCCTCCCCTCCCGCCGCGCCATCTCCGACCGTTTCCGACGGCGTGACGCCACTGCTCCTTCGCAGGAGGAGCAAATTTCTTCGATCCAAGAGTGCCGCCGCTCGGATACGGAGCATCATCTGGTGCGCGGCGAAAACGTCGCACTGAGCGGCACCATACGCCCTTAGCTGCTGCTCGAAGCCGCGGTTCACGGAGGCGACTGGCCGGGCCCGTCGTACCTGCGCGTAGGCGGCGTCATAGGAACAGCCTTGCGTTGACATTATGAAGGCCACGACAAACGCCGCCGAGCGGGACCGTCCGCCGGCACAGTGGACAAGAACGCCTCCCTTTTCTATCCCGGCCTCGACGAAGATGTTGACAGCGCCGATGGCGGTCAGGATGTTGGAGCTCTCCCTGGGTTGAGCGCGGCCGTGTATCGGGGCATCGGGGCAAGAGCAAGTTTGAGTTTAGGTGGTGCGAAAGGATTCTGCTGAAGCAGCGCATATTCCCGAATGCTCTGACACCGAGGGGCAAACAAAGACGAAGAGCTGTTGCCCGTGCGTGTGTGTGCGTGCAGACAGCAGCGTGGCAGATATGTACGCCCAAACTTAGCACTAGCATCTTAAGTCAAGACTTGTTTCCGAGGATGGGTACGCCGTGCGGCGGTCGAATCATCCACATATTGTATTGACCTTTCCAACGCTCGAGGTGACTCACTTGTCTCGAATGTCCACGGTGAAGTACGTGAATTGCCGGGGAAACGTTGCCGGCAAACCAGACGCGTTCAAGACCTGCGCGAGATAAGAGAGCGAGTTGCGTCAAAACGGCGGTTGGTGTCGTTTCGAGTGATGTCTGAGCAAAGAAACAACCTGCGCCGTACTTTGAACGAAGCTTTTCGAAAATTAGCAAGAGGTTCATCGACACGAAAGCACGCTACATCAGTCACGGTTCTCTCGCAAGACCAACCCAACAACAGCGCAAGCACACACCGCGGAAGTCACAAGCCGCTATGAGTTCCGGTGCGTTCTTGTGCAGGAACATGTTTGCCATCAAGATATGAATAGCACGCTACAGAACAAAGGCCGGGAGATCTCTTCCGTGCTTGCATACGAGTATCTTTCAACCAGACGAGATTCTACATCCTTGAACCAGAGGTAGGTAAGCTCCGCAGGAATGTAACGGCATTCCTTCTTACGAAGAAGTCTTCAACACACGAGCTTCAGCCCTTCGAGACGCCACCCGGAGGTCGGGTTACGTGCCTGTGCCCTGCTGTGCTTTCGGTTGCAACACAACTGCCGTGCCACAATACATTAAAATTTCCAACAAAATCAGGGGTACACGAGATACGAATTAATCATCTGCAACGGTCTCCGGATGAAGGTACAAGTCGCATCCCACCCAAGGCAGGCCTCCTCAAAAGGGAAAGGGTTCCAAGCCCTTCCAGCAAGGGTGGGTAATGCCTCTAATTGTAGTGAACACGAGACTTAACGGAGCATCGTGAGTCCTTGCAAATCACACTGAAAGGTCCAAATTGGTCAAAAAAGAACTTTCCGCACCGCACACCGCACACACAACATCCGCTGCAGGTGCACAACACATACGCATATGGCTTGCGTTTGCGGGCTCATACTCTACCGACTGCGGCAGCGGATATTATGGTGATGCATATGCATCTACCATGACACCGTTGTATAGTCTACAGCAGTAGTTACGACTCATGTTGTCGCATGTGCATCTCGCTGTTGCACAAGGATTCGAGTCAAAGAGGCTGCAAGATGAAACTCTTCAGTAGGATCGCTTGCTCACTAACAATCGACTTATGTACAATATCGTGACAAGACAGCCCGTGATGTCATACATCTCTGTTCTTTTGTTGAGGTTGGCCAACGCCTGGTGGGTTGGGCAACTGCTATGGGCAACTGCTAACGGAGCAAGAACCTCACAAACAGGCCGTCTCCGGATTGAACGAAACAGAGCGTTTTTCCGCAAGAAAATAGAGCGCGCACGAACCGAGCACTGGCGGTAGAGCCGACATTTCAAAACTTCTCGAAGGCAATGTACATACACCCGATCTCCGGGGGGTGTATCTCTGTCTCTCCATTGTGGGTCAGTACACCAAAGAGACGACACAACGAGCCGCACAACAGGACAGACAAGCCGTTGGTATCCACTCACGTGCGTGATCCCCCTATCTTGCATGCTGTCCTGGTTAAAGGCCGCATGGATGGACCCAATCCACAGCCGATCGGTCACTTTAGCGGGAACATTGTCCTGAACCGGCAAGCAAGAGAGCGCGACACCAGGAAAAATTCAAGCTTCACAACCCAATTAAAGCAGGAGGAGCCACGCTCTACGTAGATTATTATTATACGACCTGGTGGCGGTATCCCTTTGCCCCCCCCTCCGAAATGAAATCAGCAGACCTTGCTGCTCACAATGGGAAAGGAAGTCTTTTGCCGACATCTCCGACATCAACAAGAAACAAACGCCGATACTTCACATGACACACACTACACACATAACACACGGGAAGCAACATACAGCACTGCGACTCTGAGGCGGCCTACCGCACCTGCACCAGGGATCTTGACAACGGTGGTGGATTCGCTCGCTTCGTCATGGCGTGTGAGCCTTAGGCCCTCTAGGCCCGGAGTGTTTGCTCGGTCTGTTGTAATCTTGGACAGGGGACCGATGGTTTGCCATCAAGGTACCCCCCCCGCAAACTTACTTTGCTTCTCCCCGCACAGCGTTTGTTTTCAAAAGTACTCGGGAATGCAAGCCAGAGTAGCTTCATATATATGTCGTTCATACCACATACACACGAGGAATCGCCACAGATCACAAACCCACGGGCGTCTCATTTTTTTCTGCTTGCCTTGGCTTGCTAACGTTGGTTGTAATATACAACTATTTGTAAATAGTACTTACAAAAAGTATGCAACATCATACGGCAGTTCAGTCAAACGACAGTCATGTCTGTACAGTCCACAGGCCCTCTCTCTTGGGTGGAATCTTAAGGATTGAGTTATTGTCGATGGATTCTGCGGCACCCGGAAACAGTGGTACTCCTCGTGTCAATTAAGTGTAGTTAGTGGAGTAGGGACGTTGAAACCAATGTTTATCCAACCGAACAACTGGCGATGTACTCTCTTCTCTAGACTATGTAGACTATACATCGATCAGAGTATTACCACACCACGGTCGTGCCTCTCAAACAGAAGAGCTCGGATCCAAGCTCACACACAAGAACTATCCTGCGGCACGTGCCGTTGTTTTTCTCGCAAGAACATTTTTCATGCTTCAGCAGATAAATGCATGTACCTGATGTAAGATCGTTACCGACACGGGGACAGGTGAAAATAGGCGACGCCACCGTTAGAGCCTGCATGCAGGTAGGGAAAACGCTCAGCTCGAATACGAATTCCCGACCTAGCCATCAGGTGTTTACGAGGCTATGCATACCAAGGTGACCACCGGGATCATGGAGGGCACTTACATCTCTGCAGCACTTCATCTCTACCGGTTGATGACCTTCGCATATGTGCCTACCGATATGTAGTCGCCCTCAGAGCCAAACGTAACAGGTCAATCCACGGTTTAGGACGTTTGCGCTCACGCGACAAATATTACCATATGGAGAGAAATACCACAGCAGTTTCAAAAAAATCACTGAGCATTGTCTACGACACCCAAATAGCAACCAACTCATCCCACCTCGCACCAAATCGCCTCAGGCAGGACCAACACTAGAATTTAGGATTTACGTCATCTGGAGAAAAGGTTGGGCTGAGTCCGAGACTTGAGTTAAACACTTGATTCTACACTACGGACAAAAAGTTAATGGCAACGCACAAACGAACCGCTGCCGAACACATGTACACACACATAATCAGGAACTTAACAGCGACGGAGGGGGTACCTTTCGAATAAGGCTTCACAACAAGGACACAATTCTAAGCAGGACACCATGCTCGTGTGTACATACACTGTGTCAACAGGGCTGCTGACTCATTGACACCGCACGCACTCGTACACCCTCAGAAAGTGTTCACTCACGAACACCACAGGAAAACCAGTTACAACATATCTAGAGGCTCAGGCCCCCCTTGCGTGTAGCTGCGAGACCTCAACACGAAACTAAAACTACTGCTCTACACACAGTTGAAGCAACGACATACATACCCGCGAGATTTGGAGGTCGAAATCTCACTTCCCAGAGAACTGAGTCCCCAACGACCCCAACGTGTACACGCATACATGGAACACAGGCAAACCCGTCGCTTGAGCAATAAAAGCGACGTAAAGAACTGGAGCTGGCTACCGCCGATCACCGAAAGCGAGACAGAAGCAAGCTTGCACAAAATAGCGCAAGTTGAGTGGGGACTACACAAGTCACAACAGAGAGCACAGCCGTTGCTCTCCTCCTCAGTTAACATGTCAAATTGAACACTGCACGCGACATCATGTTACCAATCCAATCAATCTATTTCTTAACTCCCACCTTCGGCCGCATCTCGCCGGGACGATAGCGATGCGGACGTGACGGACGATCCCACCAAATTGTAGGCCGAACACCCGACGAAGGCCAACGACATTCCAGCTAACTGTCTCGAAGACATGGGTCCTGCTTCCCCAAGCAGAAACAACCCGGATGTGAACAAAAAAACGCGCTTGCCGGCATTTCCTACGGCATGCCCAACCGGAGTTAGATCCGAAAGAAGATTGAACGACGCCAGGTTGTACCCCGCAGAGCAAAGCGCCGCGTTCACACCGCTCGTGCGCAGCAGCGATTCTCCGGCCCACTCCCAGCTGAACGGCAACCATGGCACCAGCAAAGCCATCGAGCCTACCACAGCGCCCACAATGCTACAAGCTAATAACCCTAGAGGCGGCGGGGGCGGCGGAGGATCCGGTATCTTTAACAAAACGTTTCGCAGGACAACAGCGCAGCAGGCACACGCCGATATCACTGCGGGAAAGGCCACGCCCTGACCCGTGCCCATCAAAGCGCCCGCTTCCCCGCCTTCCCCGTCGGACGACTCATCGTCGTTTCCTCTCGCCCACCGCCCAAGATTCACCGGTATCATCAAGATGCCCAAGCCCAGCACAATGATGGCGACGGCGGCGGCACGGCCGGGTGGTAGCGAAGATCCAAGGAGCCATCGCGAGAAACCTGCCGCCACCGCTGGCTCAAGCGCCTTGAGGGCGTGCGTGGCAGCTACTCCTCCTACCAGAACCGACCAACTCGTCAGCAACGCGTCGGCAGAGTGCAACATTCCCGCCTGCCACACACCTTGCCCCAAGCGCCTTGCTTCCCTAAGCCCGCAGTTCCCTACCCATTCAGGTTCAGATGAAGTCGAGAAAGGGACTGGAAGGAAGGAGGGTGAGGGAGAGGACACGCTAGGCGACAAACAAGAGTCTGGCGAAGTAGCAACACTGCTGGCTGGGGAGTAGGAGGCAGGTTGGGACGAGCATCCACGCCGTCTAAGCCACGCCGCCAGGTTCGTCGCGCAGAGAACACCAACGCCGACCCACCCCTGGATGGCAAGCAGCGCCACGGGATTGCCGGTCTCGCGCATGTACGTCTTGGTGCAAATGCTGAACCCCAAGGACATAAAGACCCAGAGGAAATAGTTGAGCCCGAAGAACGCTACATCTTCAAAACGGACCGGGCTCCAGCTGCAGCAAGAACCACACACCCGCGCTTTGGAGAAGCTGGAGGGCTCCATTCCTTCTTCCGGCAACCCCGGGCACTTATCAAACGCAACAGCACCCCGATGCGCTTCCGGTTCCGTCCTTGATCGATATGTCAACCCGGGTAACCCGAGCAGAGCTATCATGGCCAGAGCTATCCACGCCACATACATATTCCTCGCGAAGGGTAACTCCTCCCCGACCAGAGTAGGGGCAAGGGTTGTGCCGTCCGGTCCCCACGCTCTCCCCAACCTCATCCATGGAGATTCAGTCCCGCCATGCCGCCCCTTCACTGCGCCCAGCTTGAGACTAGATCCTCCGCCCCCCTCCTCAGTTTGTTCGGCAACTCGGACCTCGCCTTCTGTCTCCCCCTGGGAATCATTTGTACGCTCCATCTCCTCCCAGAAGCCACCAAAAGTTGGACGGCTCCGCGAGGCCACTTCTGGCGAGAGCTGCAAGTGAGCCACGCTCGAAAGCATGTGCGCACACTCGTGCTGGGTGTGCAGAGCCACGAACTCAAGCTTGTCGAACACACGACTCCGTCGTCCCGCCGAGTAATCATCTCGGAGTTTCTTGATCCTCGTGTCCAAATCTCGCCGCGTAGTGGAGTCGTTTATCAACACGAACTGATCCCTGAGCCGCATGACATCCCTCATGAGGTCCGGCACCTTGTTGCCCTCCGCAGCTGGCCAAGCGGCGATCGTCGGTACTCCGGCTTGGAGGGCAAGGATCGCCCCGTGCAGGCGACTCGCTACTACCGCGCCACAGTCGCATAGACGCTTCGCGAAGTGATCCGGATCCAGTATTTCCTCCACCCGCGTGGGGTACGGATACGCCTCAATCTCCTCCTGGTGCTTCGGGAACACGTTCAGGAGGATATCATCCTTACCCACGATCTTGGAGGAGAATATTTGGTGCAGTTCCTGCAAATTCTTCTTCATGGCTGATGGTAGCACGAAGCACAACGGCTTCGTGTCCGTGTCGCCTGTTTGGCAGTGTAAGATGCGGGTATTGCAGGCAAACGGCTTGAGGGAGGACGGGGTATTCTTATCGGGACAACAACATATCAATCAGGGGCCCCGAAGTTATGCCCACGACGTAGATTCGCGAAGGCATACGGTGGTTCAAGCTCGTTGGATTTGCTCGGAAAGCATGCACAGTGTAACATGTACCCAGACGAGGGGATCTAAGCAATCAATACCATCGTATTTGATGAACCAGACATGCTATGAGCGCCGAACACTGACACCATGGAGGGTTGACCTTGAGCAGCCAAACGACGGAAATGCGCAAGGAACACAGGCACCTAAGTGACTCAGTGTCACGCTAGTCTACTCTTTCACACAAACACACCAAAATAGAGTAGGCACCAGTGTGTACCTCGGTTTTCACATTTCGGCGAGCATCATAACCCACTCACCGTCACTCTCTCGCCAGCATTTTCCATCAACATCTGTGAAGTAGCTGTCGCTCAGCACCGGATCTCTAACTCTCTTCACTCCCTGCGGGCGAGATCTAGCGTTCTCCAGAGTGCCTACCAGCGCCGACAGCTCCCGCACAGACTTCTCATCGCGGCCCGATAAGTAGTCGGCCCGTCTGATAATCGGGGCACTTACGAGAGCTTCCGAGCTGATCACGTTTGCGGGAGCAACAGAAGGGTGAAGGCAGGAAAACCAACACCGAGACGGCGGCACACGAAATAGAGCGGATAACCCAGTCAGTTGAATGGCGTGGCACAGGTGCCAAAAGCCAAACTATATAGGCGACTTGGACATGACATGTCAGCGTCACCTCGAAAAACTTGGCTTGTCGGGGGGAATCTTCCTCGCCTCACCTACTGTAGTACAGCTCGACAAATCAAATAACGTGGCAGGGTAAGTTGTCTTAGTCCAGAACTTCGCAGACATGCTTGACTAAAGGTGGATC